AAACATATATCGTAAATAGACACACTGTGAGTTCATCTGTATTTTATGACCAAAATAGAATTGTGCAATAGGTACTAGAAAGCTTTGGTTTATTTATCAGATAGTCCTTGGGGTAAGCTTATGTCCGCTTTGGCTTTAATTCCTTTGTGCAGAGTTTGAACAAAGTGGTGCTCATTCTTGAACTTTGGCCAGAAGCAATAGCCTACTGAAAAGGACTAGTGTGGTCTCTAGAGTATTTACTGTTGTTTATTTCCCTGCATGCCACATACTTGTGTTTGTTTGTCTCAGTTAAAGCTATCTTCAGGATAATGGTTGCCCCCCACCCACTCTCTACTTCCCCCAACAGATCGTTGAGTTAAAAAAATGCCCTTTTAACTTGCCTAAACCCACTGCTACAGAACCAAGACTTCTCATCTCTTCTGTTTACATCCAGCGGGGTGCTTCTTCAGGGATCTACATCACTGCCTGCATAAAGTAGAAATTTCCTGTTGACTGTCCAGTGGTGGGGTCCTCTGAGGATCCAGAAGATGAGTAACATCAGTGCAATGGGGTGGTAGGAGACCGGAGGTCCATCTGCAGTGCTGGGTTAGTGGTCCTCTGTACTCAGACATGACCCCGGCGAGGGACCTAGTTGGCAGACATAGGTCTCCAAGGCTATGTAGTGAGGTTTTCAAGTGTTTTATTTACTTTTTTTTTTTCTTAGCCTACCCTATCAGTGAAATATTTTTTTCACTTGTTATTTCTGTTTCCTGAACATCATCTGTCACAGTGTCACATTTTCTGATGATGTTATTTTCTACTTTCCTTGGCCTTGTGGTTTTCCTCCGTGGCCTATGCACTTTGCCTTAGTCACATTATATTTGTTTGATGCTATGATGCCCCGAAGGCAGGGCAGGAAACTTGCTACTCCCAAGCTTTTCTCTAATATAATGAATAGGATCGCAGCATCCAGCTAAGGACAATCATGGGTGGCTTCTGTTACCGACGAAAACAAAAACTTGCACAACTACAATTAATGAAGCAACTTGGATTTGTTTAGAGACAGCTTTCATTACCTACACTAAAGGAAACCTAGGCAGACGCTTCACTTTGCTTATTTCATCCATAGAATACTGGTTTCTTGGCTGTCTCTGTCTTCAATAGTTTGAGTCACTGAACCATAGTAATTATGCAGATTGGAAAAGCAGAACTGATTAGATCATTGTTCCAGATTATTGCCTCAGAAATTATTAAAATCATTAGATCAGAAGGAGAGCCAGGCAAGCATTTTCAGGAGAAGCTAGCAGTGGCAACCTCTATAGTCTCTTAGTACAGGGTTCTATAAAAAGGTAACTTTACCTACACACAGCCCTCACTTCTGCCTACAAAGGATTTGAAGTGACAGGAAGTGAGGCTGAAGGCAAGTATTTTGATAAGTGGTTGCCGTTCTCGGGGTGTGGGGGTAACATTTAAAGGACAACTTCACTAAAAATGAAGTTGTCCTTTAAACACTCCTGCAGAAAATCCACTTGGGTGACACCAGCATTGTGCTAATAATCAGATTATAATGTTACCAAACTCCTTGTGGATTTGTCATAACCGTATAAAGAAAGAACCCTCCAGAGAAAAAAAGGCAAGGTCAACTCACAGTACATGCGGGAATGTAGAAAAATCTATCTGCCAAAGTCACAGACAGTAGTTAAGATAGTGGTGGGGTATCAAATCCTGCTTCTTCCTCCCAAAAGAGGGGAAAAAAAACTTTAGGGTGGCATCTAAATTCTCATAGTTTATCATATACTTCATTTCACACTGTATTTTTAGTTGCTGTATAGCTGAGCTCAAAGCCCAATTCCAGTTTTAAATACAAATTAAAATACAGGTGAAACTCGAATAATTAGAATATCGTGCAAAAGTAATTGCAGTAAGTGCTGCAAAAGGGGCCCAAACCAAGTACTGAGTACATATGCATGCTTGTACTTGTCAGAGGTCCGATATTCTTCTATGTACAATCCTTGTTTTATTGATTGCATGTAATAATCTACTTTTTTGAGGTTGTGGATTTGGGGTTCTTGGGGTTTTCATGAGCTGTAAGCCATAATCATCACAATTATGACAAATCACGGCTTGAACTATCTTGCTTTGCAGGTAATGAGTCTCTCTCATATATTACTTTCACCTTTTAAGTTGCATTAGTGAAATAAATGAACTTTGCACGATATTCTAATTATTCGAGTTTCACCTGTATGAGTTGTCCAGTAATCTTTAAATAAAAAAAGCTGCTTTCAGTGCAATACCTATTCTACGACGCTGACTGCTCTGAGGTCCAGTGCCACTCCTCTTCTAGGTTGAATGACACTTAAGTAGGGTATACACGGTTAGAATTTCGTAGGAAAGAAGTCATTTTTGGAATGTTCTTTGGAATATCTATCAATTAGTATGGTGCAATTGACAGACGAAAACGACAATGCTCCCGAATATTTTCAAAGTAGCATGTTGGAAAATGTTTCTCGATCGAACAAATTTCTAACAATCAATGTGATTTTCGTTTGGAAACTCCATTCATACCAAAATAGAATGTTAATTTAAAAACAAAAATTAAACGAAATTTGGAACAATCGGAAAGTTTCTGGTGCCTGTATGGAACGATCTGACGGTATTTTTCGTAGGAACACTCCTGCAAAAATCTACCCGTGTATACCCCACTTTGGTGCCATTTAATTCCTGTAAGCCATGGGCATCATGGACCTATGCCTTGGGGGTACATAGTCAAGCCGCCCTTGGCTCACAGAAGAATTCTGCAAAGCCCAGGGCAACCGCTTGCAGTGCATCCAAGCCAATATCGGCCCTTGTGAACAGAAAGAGGATTTTGTGTAGCAATATTTCCTTAACTCAGATATATGCAGTTATTGTAAAGATTTGAGATTTTGCCCTCCATGTGTATCTATAAATGTTATCATCCCTTTCAAATAAGCCATCTTCTGCTGTACATTTATTGGGTAGTGACGAATAGCAGCATTCTTTCTGTCAGCACCTTGTGCTAGTTAATAGTTTACTGTAGAGATCCAGTGAATCGTATTATTCAGCTGCATCCATTCTCTCGGTTAAACTGGACTGTGTCTGACAGCACTAAGGCCCTTTCACACGGTGTTTCCGACCAGGTCTGTCTGTCCTTTTTTTAGACGAATCTGATCAGAAGCTTCACGTTAGTCTATAAGGAGTGATGGTCTATGGCAGTGGTGGCGAACCTTGGCACTCCAGCTGTTTTGGAACTACAAGTCCCATGAGGCATTGCAAGGCTCTGACAGCCACAGACAACTCACAGAGGCCGATACATGTTGGGATTTGTAGTTTTGGCACAGCTGGAGTGCCAGGTTCGCCACCACTGGTCTATGGTGTCCATTACATCTGATTACCTCCAAGTTCATCTAGGTCTGCAAAGAAATAAAATGGCACACCTGAATGGGACAGATCGGAGGTAGACGGTTGTGAACGGACACATGTGCGCTTACATCCGACTCTGCACAGACCAAACAAGGGTCTGGTTAGTGGCATCTGTTCCGTACTGCTCCGATTAGCAGTGGCTCTGTGCTCGAACCCCCTAGTGATCAGAACAGACGCTGCCCGTGTGAAAGTCATGTACATGCTTTTATCTGCCTGGGGTATTGCTATACCCTGGCACCCAGGGCACATGTCCCAGTTCTTCTACTGAGTGCCCTGGGTCTCCTTTGAGATGTGGAGATGATACATTGTAAGTATTATACAGTTTTGGAGCATTGTATAATGTACCTACTTTTCAGTGCGTCTATTATTTGTGTTGTCACCTTAATGTGACAATACAGTTTATTATATCAGTCTTAGATTTTATCCAAAGTGTTCATCATGGTATCCTGCCAGCCCCTCAACATTTTTATCTGTGTGCCCAGAGGTGCCCCATGTCTATTACGACCCTCGAAACCCCCCTGCTGTCCACCCAAGTTTTAGAGATCTTCATTGTTCTCACTGAACATTCACCGCGATAAAGCCCTGAGAAAGTTTTTGATTCTGTTGAATTACAATTTTAAAGTGACACTAAACTTAGTAGTTAAACCTTAAAAATGCATTCATGTACCTTACATATTAACAAACATGCGCTAATTTGTGTATCACTCGGCTGATCCTCAAATCATCTCTGAATTCATGTTGACACTGTCCTACCTTCTGGAGGGTGGCTACTTTTGTTCCCCATGGTCCCTGTGTGTGTTATAAAGTAGCCACCACTCCAAGCTCACTCCCGTGATGGACTACAATCTCAATACAAATGATTAAACTAAACCTGAAATTGTAGTTAGTCGCGGGAGCAATCTTGTAGTGGTGGCTACTTTACAACACATACAGGACCATTGGGATCAAAACTAGCCACCCTCCAGAAGGAAGGACAGTGTCAGCATGAATTCAGAGATGATTTGAGGATCTACAGCTGAGTGATACACAAATAAGCTGCATTTTAAGGTATTTAAATGCATTTTTAAGATCTAACTCCTTAGTTTAGTGTCACTTTAGTGAAAGGATTAAATTATGTGAATTTCAGAGAAATCCAAATCAGTATTTGTAACAATCAGAGCATTGAGCTCCTCCAGCACTTCATAATAATATAGCATTATTAATATTTGGCAGGATCCATTGGCGTGTACATGACTTACATTGACTGTGAATGCTGGGACTACACACAGCCAAGATATCTGTAAACACAAAGTTACTATTCCATGTAATTGTCATTTGCAGGACCCCAGGCAAATAGGAAAATTCAAAATTAGATAAAATATGCTTTCTATGGTTTTAGTTGTTGCTTCCAAGTATGTAGGTTTCAGCCCAAGGAGGATGCAAGTCAAGTCTGAGTTGACTTGACTTTGTTTATCCGTGGTCCATGCATGATGGACTGTAAACAGCAGCCCAGTGATTGCTGCAAGCCAGCAAAGTGGCAGTTAGTCAAAGCAAAGTAAAAGTTCATATAAGATCTAAAAGCTGAACACAGTGAGGCTTACCCTGCACTCCAGAACTGCTCTGTCCTCTGTCACCCCATGCAGCCAGTAGTTGCTTGGTGCTCCCTGACAGCTGCCTCTACCCATAGCACTGCCTGGCTCATTCCGTTGCCTAAGAGATGGAAGGTTTTAGATTACACTTCTGCAGAAAGGGGAGGAAAGGAGGTTTGTCTCAGGGTGTGCTTTGACGAGAGAGAGAGGGAGGGTAGTGGAGAACAGCTGGTACAACTTGTGAATCTCACATATAGTCCAGGCTACTGTCATTCATCTCAGCTGACTCCCACAAGTCATTAAAAGTTCCCACTATGCATGCTTTGTGCCTGGCATACTCAGTAACTGGAGGAATGAGATCACAGTGGCGTCACCCACAACAGCTCATCAAATCTTCAGGAATGCTGCACTTGCACCTTCCTTTTATCCATGCTGCTTTGTGTTCCCGAGGTTTAATGTAATCGGAGAGAGCGGATACTTCTACCCAGGAGCAGGATCTGGGTAATGAACAGAATGGATGCACACAAATGGAAATGACCCCCTTTTGCCGTCTATAAGCAGCAGGTTAATGGCACATCTGTTCCAGTGCCTGCTGCTTGTATACAGAAGCTTCTTGTGTAGGGTATGACACATTGACTGTGAAAGACGCTTTTCTTCCGTCTGCATGCCGACACCCAGAGTTCTATTTCTTTGAGGTCAAGCTGTGAAAGAAATCTTTGTGGCAGCTACTTCCCAGGAACAGACTGGCTATCGCCGATATTCAAAGAAGCTTTGCCCTGTCTCCTCCTGTGCCTTTTTAGTACGTTACATTGTAGAAATAAAGGAATAAGGGGTACGTGTGGCAGATATACAGTTAATGGCTAAAGCCGGGTATACACGTGCCTAGTTTTTCCATTCAACCCGCGGGCTGAACGAAAAAAATAGAACAGATTCCTCCATCAACACTAACGAACATTGATCGATGAATCCCCCGCTGTTTGCATTGTATTCGGACAGTGGCTGATGGCTGCTGCCAGAATACCTGAATGGAGCTAGCAGCTAATTGATTTCTCACCAGCTCCTTAGTTCAGCTGATCGAGCGATGCCAGGCGAAAGGGTGCCGACGGCAGCACCCACGGTGCGAACTTCAGTCGGTTAATCAGGAACTGGCAAAATTCAACACGTGTATACCCGGCTAAGTTTACCTTTCTGACCATGTTTCATGTCATTCCCATATTCATGGTGTAGCATGAAACATGGTCAGATCCGAACTCCCTAACTCCCTTACCTGAAACACGGGTGGTTCTTCTCCCCGCAGGCTTATTTGAATTTCGCACGGCTTCGCGTTGCTCCACCCACATGGATGCGTCATCCATTCACAGATGCTTTGACAGGATCTATGAATGAAGAAACTACAAGTCCTGTCAGCCACCACGGCAGAAGGACTTGTAGTTTTCAATGCAATACAAGTGCGGTGACGATACCACACTTGTAGTCCATTGGCACTTCCTCCCGTCCATTTACTGAGTATCCGCATGAGCTAAAATGCAGCGGTTTGTATGGGCTGTTATACTTTTGTTTACTTCTCGCCCAGCCCTCAATGACTCAAATTACTCCTTCACTAGGTAGCAGAGGTAGCAATGGCACAGAATGGCTTCGGCCTTCAATCATGCTGAATGACTCAGTGCCCAGGTCATGTTGTGCTGCCTAGTGACTGACATTCAAGTCATTCAGGTCCAGGGGGAAAATGTAAACAATAACAGTCTAAGCAGTGGCGCAGGTACAGAAAGAGCATTCTGTACTGCTCCCCTCCTGGTCCTGAATTAATTAGGCAGCAGGGGCAGCGCATATGGCCAAGTCCATTTACGGGTAATTGAAGTAAGGGTTCGCAAAAATATATTGTCCTGGGCCCCCCGTCACAGTTATTAGCTTGCTCTGCCATCAGTCATTTTTTCCTGGAACTTTATGTGAAAGAACCCATCCCTGGCATCCCTTCATACATTCCAGCAACCAGTCAGCCGCTCAGCAGACTGCACAGTTAACGTCTGCAGAATCCAGGGGCCTGCAGAGAGAAGCAGGCAAATCTAAGGGGAACCCAGAGACGTGTACTTTCCTTTAACCCTTTCACTGCCACCAATGTCAGCCTTATGGCAGCACTGGCTTTTAAATACATACCCAGCTGCTGTGGCAGCTGGGAGTGTGGTTACATCTAACAAGCTGACTGTTGGCTTTCTGGTCCTAAAGACAACCTGTCACCTCTAAGGTGCTCAATAGCCCCCTATGTGATAGCAATAAACTTAAAAGAGAACTCTGGGGTAAGTGTTTTTCCCCAGAGTTCTCTTAAGGGTCATGGGAGGACATATACTAGCGTCCTCCAGTGACCCAAAGCTAAGTATATCGCGAGCTACAGCTCGCGAGTATACTGAAACCTCCCCAGCCGGGACGGATCCCGACAATGCTGTCGAGATCCACCCAGCTGCGTGAGTGACAGCTGGCTCTGTCTATCTAGAGGCAGAGCCAGCTGTACCAGCCCCGTCTGTTCCTCCAGTCAGCGCTGGAGGATCGGAGCGGGGAGAGTGGAATCCCTGCAGGGAGCGGTAACTGACAGTCACGGCTCTCTGCAGGGATGTGAGCGAGCGGCGGTATGCATTCGCTCACTTCCCGATCTATTGAGCCGATGTGTGACAGTTTAATTGTCACAAGTCGGGTCGAACTATGAGGATGAGTGATTTTCACTCAGCTTATAGTTCTCCTTTAAGTATAAAAAAAATGAAAGTTAAAGTGGATCTTTACTCCCTTTCACTAAAATCACATCAGCATACAGCTCTGTGTGCTGATTTAAAATCATCTTACATTCATTAGTGTGTGTGTAGATTGTTATTACTAAACATTTCTAAAGGTGTGCTTGTTTTTACTTTAAAGATAAGGGTAAATGCAAAATGGCTCTGGCAGTGAAAATGTAAAAAAAAAAAAAAATCTGAGACAGAATGCTGTGATGTTTACTGGAGCTTTCCAGCCCGTCCCACCAAACTCAGAGCAAAGTGCAGCAGACAGACCCAGTGATGACATCACTGAGTCTCGCTAAAGGTATTTTTGAAAACCAAAAAGATTTAATGAAAAAATATTAATTGCATGTTGATCAGGGGGAGAGGAGAACAATGAATGGTATTATATACATAATTCGACTTTAATGCCTTCCTGTCCAGCAGTACTTACAGCTCCATTCGCCCACTGGGAACATAAAAATACCCGGTGTGCATGTGACTATCTCCCCTCTCTCTCATGTGACAGCGCTGGTGTTTGGTAAGTGGACCAGCGCGGTCACATGGGGCCGGTTTGAGACTCCTAAATCTGTATACATATACACTGTAACTGGAGCGACCAGGAGCTTATACATGGCTTCACTCCCATTAGCTGAACAGCGTGGCGGTGAAGGGAAGCATAAATGAGTATATGCTGCTGGGAAGGGGAGGAAAGTGCAAACCTTTCTGCTTGTTTAAGCAAAGCTCAGATTGTCTTTGAATTGGACTGACTGACTGACCCTTCTACATGGTTATGCCCATCCTTATAATGTCTGCTTACTGCAAGTAACCGCTTATTGCCAGGAATCTAATCCAGAGCTTTGTTCTCCATGTGCCCTGTCTTTACTGATCATTTCTTTTGGTTTTGTTCCAGTGGTGCTGGAATAACATACCTGTTTCATGAAAAGGTTGGGCCAACCATGTAAACTTCTCTTTGTTGCTTTGTAGTTAGTTGGCACAAGTCAATATTTGAAATCTTTAACGTAACGCTACAAAATGTAGCAGCACAGAAAGCTCATTGTTGACACGCAAAGCATGTTACTAAAGAAAATTAACTGTAGCAGCTCTCTGAAAGCTACATTTCTCCTGTTGACATGAGTGTGACTGCCATCATCTGTGCAGGTATTCATATTTAGGTTCCATGTAGGCACCATTATTTTCACTGCCCTATAGAGGAACTGAACTCTGCAAGCATGTAGAGGGTGTAAGACAAGTCACAAGTATTGCCTGTGGTATCCCTGCAGCTGATCATTTCCCATTACTGACTTACCATGCCTTGTTCTGGCATGTTCATGCTATGTTCGAGTCGAACATAGGTTCGACTCGAACGTGAAGCTCATCCCTAGTGTGGAGGTGGCCATCTTGGTAGAGTCGTGGCTTTGCGATTATCGTACGATCGCGGGATTTCCCGCGATTCTCGTACGATAATCGTGCAGTGCATGGGCACCTTTAAGGCTGGAGGCACAGGAGTGTCTACACCAGGGGTAGGCAACCTCAGCAGTCCAGCTGCGGTGAAACTTCAAATACCATTATGCTCCTGGGAGTCATGCCTGTAGCTGTCTGAGTCTTGCAGTGCTTCATAGGACTTGTAGTTCCACAACAGCTGGAGTGCCAATGTTGTCTACCCCTGATCTAGACACAATCACATACCAGTGCACTGTTGTTTTTCCTGGGAAAAATCTAAACAAAATGCAAATTTTGGGGGTAATTCCTAGAAACATTTTTAGATGTTCCCTATAACATAACATATCTATAATTTTGAGTTTAGGTCTACTTTAAGCCTCCTTCACACTGGCATTGACAAACCTGCGATCATATGCGTTTATAGGACATCTCTAAATGCATATAATGGTTTTTAAACATAAAATTTACTTCATTTTAGGTGTGATCAGTTTAGCTGCATTTAGAATAACAATTGAATTTTGTGCGTTTGGGGGCAGATTCGATACTTTGAACATGTCTAAATGCATGTAAGCACACATAAACATGTGTAGATGCATCTAAACGTGTATTCAAACACAGGAGAACTTTATCTGGGAAGGATAATGTTTGTTAATTCTTCCCAAATCATTTCTAAACGATTATAATCAAATCTAAATTAATGCAGCTCTGCATTCATTAATACCTCATGAAGGGCCCAGGTTTTCAACATTAGCCCCCTACACATCACTGTACTGCAATGGTGTGTGCATTTAAATTGTTATTTTTGGAGTTATGCGTTAAAGAGGAACTGCAAGAATGTAGTAAGTTAACACTTGCAGCGGGGCTACCCACGCACTGCAAGGATTAACTGCTTGTTTTTCTCTAGGGGCCTAAATAAAAAAAATATATACACACCCGATCGCGTCTGGCTGCTAGACCGGACCCCACAGCCTCTTCTCCCTCAGGCTCTGGCGGTCCAAGGACTCGTGACATCATCACATCTAATGCAGTCCTTTCACCTGCATTAGACATGAGGATGCCGAGGGACATACAACAGCTGGAGGGGAGAAGTAAATAGTTAAGTGCTGACTGCCACGGGACCGAGGATCAGGTGAGTATACCTTCTTCTTTAAGTGTATTGTTGAAGGTGTTAGTTATTGTTTATTGCGACACAAAAGTTAAGGTACACATAAATCCAGCCACTAAAATATCACACAAGCTTTAGGCCAGGTTCACACCATTTTCTGGACCAAATCTGGTCCGGAAAATGGTGTGAACCTGCCCGCAGTTCCAGTGCATTCCAGAGCGGACAAAATGAGACATTAAGTATTTTTCTGGTCTGGTCTGGAACGGACTAAGCTGGTGTGAACAGAGGCCAGGAATAGCATAGTAATACATTAGGATGCATTTTGGATTTTGAAACAATCTGGTCTGGTGTAAAGATGATCTGGAATAGGCCCTTAGGCCAGGTTCAGCCTAAGTCCGCCAACTGACAAGTCGCATGGTACTGGTTCGCTCAGCGGGACTTTGAGACCCCTGCTTTAAACAGTATATGCAATACGGCAGATCAGTACACTGCTCTATGTAGACTCATCAATTTTAGCTCCTGCAGTTGAAGGGTATTTACAAATTTGCTTGTGCAAACTTATAAGCTGCAAGCATATCTCTTTAGAATGCCTATTGGCTTATGTGAACTCTATTCTTAGCCTATTTATCAGTGTAGTGGAGAGGCCCTCATTGGAATGACTGAAAGGGGAAGTGTAATGTGCGCTGGAACTCAAATAATTGGGAAGGGACAGTGCAGCATTCATTTCTTTGTGGGTCTCTGCTAGTTACCAGTCAGGGAGTGCAGCATCAATCAGCAGATCCTTTGCTGTGGGGAAAGGGCAACTCAGCAGGGATTGGGTCATCCTCCTGTCAGAAGAGGCCTGGCTTATAACCATAAAGTAATGTGTGTGGCATTGCTGTTATAGGAGCTGTGGCCCATATAGCAAGAAAAGGTACCTGGTAGGTCAATCCTCCAGAGCAGCTACCACATATGCTAATGCACTGTTTATAGAAGCATCCAACAGCTGAATAATCTAGATCCATTACAGAGAAGAAGGGTCTTATAGAATTTTGCAAGTCCTAGTAGGCCCTCCTTGGATCACAAAGCAAGTTTTGTCAGATATGTTTAAATGGCTACCTGGCCGCCTTCACCAATGCAGCAAAAATGGTTTCTGGAAGACAATCTCGGGCTTTGATGAAAGTCCAGCCCTCAGTGATGTCACAAGGCTTGCCATGGCTACTGGATGCCAATAGAAATTCTTTGTATGTCTCACTTTATTTGCAGAAAGAGCTGTAATGGTCCAGAGAAGCATTCTGCAAGGAGCGGTATACTTCAGAAAACTGGTGTGCATGTTTAAAATCCGGGCTGTGCTTGGTAAAAGAATACACTTGGAGGGTCTGCAATACTTATTTTTTATGCCAAGCAGTTTGCAAAGAAAAAAATATTAGATAAATTAGTTTGAAGGATAACTCAAGGTTGCTAAATTTTAAGTCAACTGCTCTCAGGGTGATTTCATCATTCATTAACATGCTCCACAGAATACTTCATGAGTCGCTTTTTTGGTTTGGAATTCTTATTAGTTAACCAGCTTGTGTCAGACTGCGTCAGTGTTTCACACAGCTTAGTGGCAAATATTTGGCCAGCACAAGCTTAGGAATGTGTAAAGGGAGGGCAGCTAAACATGAATTGAGGCACTTCCAATCCCAAACACAATAACAGTCCATGAACTATTCTAATTCCATTGCTCTAATATGTATTTTAGTCATAGACATTATGTAATATAAATCATGAAAATGTTATTATGTAGTAGAATACAAGTGACCATAGAGAGAGGTTGTTTAGTGCACATAAAGGGTATCTATTACATTTGTGGAGATCACTTTCCTAATTAATAAATAGATTGCTGTTGGGTCTTACTGTAAATAATTATTCCTTTTTTTTTTTTTTTTTTTTTAAACTCTCAACCCGCACCTGTTACAGTCTGATTGTACAATCCCGTATAGATTTACCAACACACATGGAAGGTATTGTTTCCGCCTTTGGGTTTCATTAGAACAGGACTGGTAGTTCATGTCAGCATGTGCAGATCAACTTATTTATTAATGACATCGGGGAGGGTGTTAACAGCGATATTTCCGTGTTTGCGGATGACACCAAAATTGGGAGGGTAATAGACACGGACTTAGACATTATAACATTACAGGAGGACCTGGATAAAATAGGGGAGTGGGCATTAATGTGGCAGATGAGGTTTAATGTCGATAAATGCAAAGTAATGCACTTTGGAATTAAAAATAAACAAATGGGTTATACAATTATGGGTATGCCGCTAGGGAAGTCAGAAATGGAGAAGGATTTGGGGGTCATTGTAGACCACAAACTGAAAGGTAGTTTGCAGTGCCAGGCTGCTGTAAACAAAGCTAGCAGGGTCTTGTCCTGTATTAAAAAGGGGATGTATTGCAGGGACAAGTCTATAATTTTGCCACTTTATAGATCATTGGTTCGACCTCATCTGGAGTACGCGGTCCAGTTCTGGTCACCAGTACTAAGAAAAGATGTCCTTGAGTTGGAAAAAGTCCAGCGGAGGGCAACCAAACTAATTAGGGGTATGGAGGACCAGAGCTACGAGACAAGGCTACTAAATTTAAACATGTTCACATTGGAGGTGAGGAGATTAAGGGGGGATATGATCTCCATGTACAAAATGTTCAATGGTGGTAGCAACATTAGCGATAAACTGTTTAAAATTAACTCCATTACAAAAACTAGAGGCCACCACCTAAAATTGGTGGAAAAAAAATTCCAGCACAAGGGGCGAAGGGGGTTCTTCACAGTAAGATCAGTTAGGGTCTGGAACTCACTGCCACAGGCGGTGATTTCAGCAAATAATGTGGAATTGTTCAAGAAACTTTTGGACGATTTCTTAAGGGACCGTAATATACAGGGGTACAGGTACTCCTAGAATGAGATCCTAATAGGTTGGACTTGATGGACTAATGTCTTTATTCAACCTCAAATACTATGTAACTATGTAACTGGTTTGTCTTCACTCAATGAAGTCATGTGAAGGCATTTTCTCCCTTCAAAATAACTATTTTCATATATTTCTCTGCCCTTGTTGCTTGAAGGTTCCCTACCTGTACTACCAGTAGTAAAAGGTGTGTAAATTGGCTAAGCTATGAACAGTCAAGTATTCACATATTTTGTTGCAAAATTAGTTTTAAAACAAGCCCTCACTGACCTCTGTAGCTGCAGGTACCATGGAGCAATTCATCCTTCAAGCTCACAGCAGAAGCACTAAATAAAGTCTTTGGCTTAGAGCTTAGAGATTAGAATGCTGGAAGGCTGCTTAATTACTTTTGCATCATGTTTACGTCATGCAAAAGGGTCCTAGGTGTTAAAAAGTCAGTCTTTTTATGACGAATCACAATATACCAAATGTATTTGTTGTTCTGACCGATCATCACTTTTTTCAGGTGCCGCCATGCTGCTATTGCATCGTATTTTGGTGACAAAAGGCCTCAGTGTGACAAGTGCTGTGACTCCTGTAAGAACCCTCAACTAGTGAAGAAGCAGATTGAACAGTTAGAGAGTTTGATCTCAAATAGAAGCAGAACCTGCATTGAGCAACCTGGAGCTCGACCCGGACCATTTGGCTATGACGCAAATCTTTATGAAGGGGGCAGGGATGGGTATGGGTTTGCCAGGTAAGAAAATAAAATATTGATTTATACCTATAGTAGATGGGTGGATGGTGAAGATTGACAGAGGATGGTGATTTATAGCTATGATGGCTTTCTCCATCTTTAATGTTTACTCTTTCATTTGTGGACCTATTCCTGTTTCTCTTTTATAGATATGATGCTGAGGATTCTGATGGAGGACAGGAGGATGCATCTGACAAACGCAAACAGCAATGGAACAGATTCTATCAGAAGCAGATGAATCTCAGGAAGGTAAGGGGTGTGAGAAGTTGACTCAGCGGCCAGTGACAACATTCGCAATGGTTTGTGGGATGGTAATGGGCATAGCAAATCGCAATGTTGTAGCTGAAGGTAAAGCCCCAGTGACAAAGTGCATCTGAAATTGGTATGGAGGGGGTCCCAGACACAAAGCTTTGTTTAATAATAAAGGTACATGCAGGCACATTGTGATGCCCTCTTTTAATTTATAATGCTTGTTATTCAAAGAGCTCATATACTCGCTTCTCCAGTGACCTGTGTCTCCTACCTTTGCTCTGTTCCAGTGCTGCAGCCTCCATCAATCTCTTTAGAATTTAATATTTCTGGGAGTGGCGGATATGCTTTTGCCCCCTAACATGCACTGCGGTTATATGCTCCAATCCAAATTGTATTGCAGTAAGATTATTACACTAGGAAAATATGCCAATGTGCAGGAAATTAACAATATAAGCAATCTATATTAGTTTCATCAACCAGAAATGGCTTTTAAAAAAATTCAGTGGGCAAGGCTGAAATGGGTTGACATTTTGGTGTTATTGTTAGATGTTCATAAAGATTTCTATAAAAATGTTATACTGTATCATTTTGACTTTCTGAATGTCCAAAATATGATATGCTATCACAAAAGTCAGAATCGGTAACTCCCCATTTCAGTACATAGTGGCACTTGGCAGAGGTGATCTTTGTCACACCTGCTTTTTGCCCAATTTATTGAACCTTTGGCAGTGGTAATTCACAAATCATTTGATATGCGAGTGATTAAGATACCAGAAAAAAAGTCTCCTTAAGCAGTGCTATTTGCTGATGATACTTTATTGAATGTTATAGAACCTTCTAAAATCTCTTGTTTAAGAAGCTGTCAGGGTTTTATGTTACTGTCTGTGCTACTGACTTCAGATTTTTACATTGCCCTGGGAAAAAATAATTGATTTATTTAAGAATACAACTGACAAATATTAAAGGACAACTATGAAAACTATCATCCTCATAGTTAGAGCCGATGTGTGACTGTCACACGTCGGCTCTATAGATCGGGAAGTGAGCAAACACATACCGTCGCTCGCTCACTTACCGATCATCTCGCTGCAGAGAGTAGTAACTGTCAGTCACTGCTCCTCGCAGGGATTCCCCCCTCTCCGATCCTCCAGCTCTGACTGGGGGCGGCAAAGCTGACTCTGCCTCTAGATAGGCAGAGACCGATTTCAATCAGCCAGCTGAGTGGATCTCGACTGTATTGTCAGGATCCGTACTGTCTGCGGTGCTCTTGGTATTAAGTGAGCAATAGCCTGCTATCTACTGAGCTTTAGGTCACGGGAGGACGTTAGTATATGTCCTCCCGTGACCATAAAGAGAACTAATGAATAAAAAGGTTTCCCCATAGTTCTCTTTTAAAGCTGAACTCTGATCATGAATTATTTTGTATACTTACTTTGGTCCAGCTTGGCTCAATGTAAGTATGCATATGCCATACCTAATTGGCTGCTGGGGATCCAGTAGAGCACTGTAGTAGCCGGAACTACTACAGTTCTGTCCGTGATCTTCTGAGTCCTGCCTGGCGCTGTGCTGAGCATCTTCCCTTCTGCTATAAAAACACAGGGAGTCACTCATTCAGCACAGCAGCTATTATTTTTTTTATCAGTGAATACAATGAATAAGGAATACAAGGCCTTCCCTGATTGTACGAGGAGTGGATTGTGATGCCTTGGATACCTAGAGTTCAGCTTTAAGCAAATCATCCATACGTTATTCTAAGACCAAGACAAAGGGCAAACCTTTAAACTATTCTAGATCTTTAGAATTTTCATTTTGAGAATGAATTTTTCTGTACGTTTACTGTATCATTCTTCTTATTTCTTTCCTTCACTGTGAGGCCTTTTCAGCATGTGTCAGGTTAACTTAACAATAACTCCATGACTAATTTGCACACCTAAATTATGTTAGGTTTTTATTTGGTACAATGTTCTTTTTAATATACGCTGACAAATGTGGAAAAATGTAAATCAAATTTTTATTGAATTTTTTTTTAATAGTGAAACTGTATCTGACAGGTACACTATTAAATAAATGGCACTGCAGCCAACAGTTTTCATCTGCAGGCTAAAGGCTTTCATTTGTTGACTGATTTTTTTGTCAGTCAAGCCTAAAGCCAGCGTAATGTTCACATAATTGGCAACCACTCTGGTCTCTGACACCAGGATTGAGAGTCCGCAGCTGTATTGGCTGCTGGCTTTTAAAGGGTCAACGTTTATTGTATTTCAAAGTTTTTATTGGTTTCCATAACATCTTTCAAATCCGGCTTTTACCTATGTATCCAAATCCGAAAATTCAATATTTCTCAAATCAACATTAACTTTAACATTAGTTCCCCGCATCACCCAACCCTTACTTAGGCTGTCGAAGCTATCGCCAAAAGAAAAGAATGGGGGAAAACCAGTAGCGTTATTAACCTTCTACTTTGCCCCTGCCCCCCTTCTCCTCTAGGGGCATGCCCTTCCATTCGATCACTTCCAGCTTTGGGGGTGCGGGGTTTCTCAAAAAGGGTAGAGCCACTTTCGCTAAGTGAAAGCTTATGGAAAACTTTTTGGTATACAAAACGAGAGAAACACACACTAAGGGGGGGAAATAAAAGAGAAGAAAAAAAAATAAGGGGAAAGGAATCTTATTATCTAAAGAAAATAAAAGCGTAACCTAAGAGATTATAATTTCCTAGTTTCCAAGGAGCGGGATAAATATGCTTAAACTGAGGCATCAGAGATAATGCTATGAGCATTTGAGATCTCTTGGTATTTCAACCAAGGCGCCCATACTGCTTCGAATTCTGCGTATTTATCCTGCAAGATGCTAATTAATTTCTCATGGATCATGATCCAGTTCACTTTAGACAACACCAGAGAGAATGGGACCTTTTCAGCTTTCCAGGACCGAGCTATTGATATCTTAGCCGCCAGGAAAAAAAAGGAAACCAGTTTGCTCTGTGTTCCAGAGATGTCCGGGATTGATTTATTAAGTAAAGTATACTGTGGGTCTCTGGGGACAGAGGTCCCGAGAATCCTAGAAAGCAGGGCAAACAACTTGTTCCAAAAAGGTTGTAGTCCTGGGCACTGCCACCAGACATGTAGCATAGTGCCTTGCTATTTACAGCCCCTAAAGCATAACGGACTGACGCCTGGGCCCATCTTCGCTAACTTTGCTGGCACAAGATACCATCGAGAAAAAACCTTGTAGTTGGCTTCTGAAAGAGAAACATTTGATAGTCCCTTAGTTGATCTTTTAGAACACAGTTGCCATTCTTCTAGGGAGAGTGGTGTCCCTATTTCTAATTCCCAGGCCACCATATAGGCCGTTTTAGTGAATGGTCCTAGTTGGGCATCGTAGATCAGGGACGTACCTCCCCTTTGACCTAACCCACCTAGCCACCAACGTTCATATTGTGTTAACATATTGGGTCAACGTTTATTAATGTGTCCTCTGCACAGGGCATCATGCTGGAGAACATTATTACACAGATTGCAGGCGGGTATTTTTTGAAAGTTTAAAAAAACTACAGCGGCTTCAGTTTGAAATGGATAGGTAATGTTTAATAACATTACATTACAAAATGGCTTGTGTAGCAATTGTTAATGCTGTGTTCATTTTATATGATTTTTTATACCGAGGTTCCATTTTATTTGGAGACCTAAGAGCAGCAAGAAAACGGGAAATGTTTTCAGTGGTCAAAGAAAAAGAGAGGATCAGAAGCCAGGATAGTGTCCCTTGAATGCATCCCTTAGAGGGGCAAAACGCATTGGGTCTGTTTAGTTACAACCTCACGTGGAATTTTAGTTGTGCATTTTAAATAAAACCAAGTTCACAGTATCCCTTGTCCAGTCCTATGTTTGCTCATTTTATATTTGTTGGAGAGATAAATGGGAGATTGTGGAAGCCCAGGACATCTCTGCAACTAGATTTGTAAAACTCAAGTTTTGGAGCTGGTGCTCCAAGTTTTTAAAACTTTTTGTCCATGGTGGTTAAGGCCTGTCACCCTGTTGTGTTTCAATTCAAATGTTTACTTGTTATCCTCTCAGCACTTGTCTTGACTGCTGTTAACATTTCTGGTATATTTCACTGATTGTGTGGCAACAATGTGAAACAGCGACTTGTGAGGTAACTTAGTTTGAACTTTATCTTGAGGCGTTTTTGATTTCAAGCATGCAGAAATAACTGTTGGCATCCTAGCGTACCGTTTTACTTTAGTCAAGGAATTCTCATGTTCCTGTCTTTTTTTCCCAGAACAAAGAGCTGGAAGATTTCATTCCTCCAAGTAGGTGAAAAAAAATACAGCCAGCAATTTTTAACTGCTTTGACTTAAAGTGAACCTATGCTCCATTTTAAACTTTTAATAGTACAATATGTGGCTAAGAGCAGGCACCACAAAATGGCTGGTAATGCCTTTACTAGCCAGGAAAACCTTTCCTGTGTCCCTGTTGGTTTTAGTTTAGTTTACTTCATGGTTAAATTATATGTAAAGCCAAAAATCCCTGCTTGGGAGATTCAGCCTTCATAATTGTCCAAGTGACTATTGCCTCCAGTTAGTTATGGTAAACCCAGAATTTTAAAGATGTCACTGGAACAGAAGGTTGAGGGTAAATGTTCAGTTGAGGGTAAATGTTCCATTGAGGATAATTGTCAATAATCTGGTGACAACTGTATAAGAGGAGACTTCCCCGCACCTTTAATAGATTTCCCCCTCACTTTGAAGAGTTTATCTCTTACTTTCTGTTGTGTCTCGGCAACAGGAAAAAAAAGACAATTATTCCATATTCTATCCAAAAGTTATAAAATGTTTTGGCTTTATGTACAGTTTAAACTATACCACCAGTATTCCACTGTCAGGCTTGGCCAAAAGAATAGACTTATGGGGTGAAGACTTAGTTTGATTTGTGTCACAGACACCAATTTATATATCCGTCTTTTAAAGTGAGGTGCACATCTATCTATCTAGCCATGTTCAACCAGATCAGGTGACTACTTAATGTCTGTTGTACCTTTGAACAGCCCCAGTCAGCCATATTGGGGGGCATATGATCCGTCAGACAAGTCAGACAAGTCAGACAAGTACTATAGTCCCCTGCAGATAAGACACTGCTGGCTCTTTTAGCCTGTAACTCCCTCTTCCTGCTCTCCCATTGACAAAAACTTGCATGCTCAGCTGAGTGTATAAGTTGATGCAGCACTTTAGAGTGAGGCGGGCTTTTGCATGCCCAAAGTTTTATGGCACTAGAAAACGTACCTCAAAATTGATAGTAAGAAAATGTTAGGTGTAGGAAACTCTTTTTACATTAGTTCACCTAGCTAAGACCAGTGTCTATAGATTTCAGTTGTGCTATGTTTTTTAGAGCACTTTCAATTGATAATATTGGTTGGACAGTTTTTACAGTTTTATATGTTTATCCTTTATAGGCGAGGACTGTCCACTTAGGGATGGAGCTAATGCTAAAATTCCTAAACTCACAGTCAAGGTAAGAGATGAAAAAAGAGTGGCATTAAGCACCCTTATTTATCTGGAATATTTGAAGATGGGGTTTGAACATAAGAATATTTGCTTTGCCTCTCTAATACCTGTTCTGCTTCTAGGCTCGGGAGCACTGCCTTAAGATGCTGGTGGAAGCACTGAGCAAAAATGTCCAAGTGACTGACAGCCAGAATAAGTAAGATTTATGGTCATAACGGGCCAGGTTCCCGGTGTCCTACATCTTCTGTATCTCTGTATTTATGTATGTATCATGTATGGACAAACTTACATTTTAGAACCTTAAGTGAAGCTTGGTAGCCCAACTGGAAAGTTTATGACTAGCGTTAATGGACATGTGTAGCAATCGTTGGTATAACTGTGTCCTTTTTGCTCTTGGTCCCAACATCTACTTATCAGATAAATATTCTCATTCCAGGACTGATGCAGCTTCATCTGCGGCGGACATAGAATATGAGGTTTTTCGAAACAGCAAGATGTCAAACCTCTATAAAGCAGGAGTACTGAAAAAGGTAATGGCAGGAAACAAAATACTCAGGTGTACAAATGTGCTCTCCACTTAAAGGAGCAGGAAGCCAGGCACTCCCAATACCATAGCATTCCAGATAAGAAAAGAGAACAATGCATTCAAATGACTGCTTTTACGTAGATCCTCCGCACTCTATCATAAAACGTTTTCTTTATTTAAAGGTGTAAGAGAGACTGTAAAACAACATAAGTTGTCGCTTGCAGTGAACATAGAAAGGTGCTTTGATAATAGTACTAGTTGTAAAATACTTTGGTGGATGCTGGAATGACCTGTGGATGGCGTTGCGAGGATCATGGTATAGAAGAATAGGCCACCACCACACCGAATGCATTTGTATGTGATGCCATGTTTATTCAACACCAAATAAAGACGGGACGTTAAGGTGGACCTCTGGTGTGCTGGTGGATTATTCTTCTATTCCTAGACTGCCACATTCAGGGGGCCCTGAGGGTGTGTGCAGGGCCGGCCTTAGGCCTTTAGGCGCTCTGTGCGAGAAAGCTTTACTTGTGTGTGGTTCTACCCCTCCGTTATATATCTATATATCATATCAAGCTCTGTTTTTTTTAAACATTGTCATACGTTTATGAGATTAGTTACATAAAGCTGATCCTTTACATGATACATTCCCTTTAAATCCTTCTTATTCTTATTGTAAAAGAAGTCAAATGGAGTTTTAGTGATAAATAGTTGTTTCTCTCCCGTTCATTGAAGGACACAGGCAACAGATAGTAGATCCTGAATGGTAGGGTAATATCGCCACCTGCAGGAGAAGGACGCTAGGCACAAAACTAAAGACCAATTACAGCCTAGGGGCTGCCCCTGCCGGTGGCCAAACCCCCCACCTGCTGACAAGTCTCCAGTTTTTTGCCTAGAGTAAGGAGCTAAAAATGTTTCTCTGGAAAAATGTAGGATTTTACGGTGAGTACAAAAATCCTATTTTTGTATTCCAAATAAAATAGTACAATGAGAGGAGAAGAAATAAAGAATACATTTGGAGGTTGGACTTCTATATGATGGCCACTGGATCATAATCCGTAGTAATGGAGGCAATTGGGGGGTTTATAATAACATTTCAGTGTTTGCTTCTTATTCCTTTCTGCTTGGAAGTATAGGAAGTGTGCAATTCCTCTCCCTTCCCCTGGGAACACACACAATGTGCACGGCGACCCCAAGAGGTTGGAGGACTTGACTGCCTAATCATAGAGCATATTTGCATTTCATAAGGATGGTGTCATCTTTCTTTAGGCATTATCCAAACCCAGCATCTGCTTTCAGAGCTGAATTGCAGGCTCAGAGATAATCATGGGAATCCCGGCGCCCGTCTGGTTTTTGACTGTGTTCACAAATGTCTGACACATCAGTCCTCTGCAGCAGCCTCATTGCAATCTGATCAGTGAGGAAGAGGAGACTGAGGAAATGCTTCCTTCTACGTGCAGCAGACTAAGGGGGCTTAATCTTTGCCTAGGCAAAATCATTGATTGAAACTCAGGGATTACTTATCAATGATGAAAGGTATAATTTTTATGAGGAAAAAGTAATGATGTTAAAGATTTGAGCACTTCTACAAATCCTCAGCATTTTGGATTGCTGTTTCTAACTTGGATACTTAAGACTTCAAGTCATATTAAACACTCAAACTTTTCTTTTTTCAATAATGAATCCAGATCAAATAAATATATATTGCCCTGCAAAGGATTGCTGTACATTTTTGTCCAAGCACTTAGTCATCATGTTTCCAAACAGCTCCAACTCTCTCAGCTCCGTTTCCCTGAGCTTCCTGTCCAGTACAAGATCACAAGCTAAAGAGCAGTCTCCAGCAGCTGTCAATCTACTAGCTTGGAGAAGGGAGGAAGAAGGTGTGACTGTCAGGATGCAGGGGAGTGCCTGGAGACACACACAGCTTACTAGGACACACAAGGGTGGCCCCATAGGACCCTTCAAGGGAAAGGAGACACCCTAAAACCGGATATCAGGGCCAGTGCTCAGTGGACCAGCTGACTCTGCAGAAAACTAAAACTTTCATACATCAAGGAGAAGCATCCATTGTTAGTGATTTAATCAGCATTTCAAATATCTTGAAAAAATATTAAAGACGAATTTATCCAAACTGGAGCAGACAAAATCTGGAGCAGTTGCCTATGGAAACCAATCAGCTTCTTTCTTTAGTTTGTTAAGTTAAGCTTTGAAAATGAAAGGCGGATGCTGATTGCCATGCACAGCTGCTCCAGATTTTGTCTGCTCCAGTTTTGATAAATCCCCTCTATGACTTTAATATCCCTTTAATTGCACTTATATAGGAAGGGGAGGTTCGTGTGCTTCTCGTTTTGGACTGTGATAATTGAATTTGTGATTTTGTTGCTGTATATTGTGACAAGTCAGAAATGTATTCATGCAGTAATGAAAGGTCCTCTGACTTGGGTCCATAGGAAGCAGTACATAATTATGGCCTCTTATCTACCTTTATTTGTCTCCATATATCAGGTGTCTGAGATTAACAAGGCTTCTAAGGAAGGCGAGCTGTATGTTGTGCTTGCTGACACTTCATGGAAAACAGAGACAAAAGAAGATTCATCCGAAGATGGATTCCTGTCTGGTTCTCCACTGCACCCGGTGCGTTCCAGTATTCAGCAGTAAACATCTGTTTTGATATACCGTATATGTCATTTTGTAATTATGTATGACAGTTCATTGCAGAGCCGGTGCCATGTAGAACATGATTATTAATACCAGAGAGACAGATAAATGAATGTGTTTTCTATTATCAGTGTCCACTCAATGAGTGTTCTAAAAACCCCATACCCCAATTCCTGTATTGCAGTCTGTGCTTATTTGCTGTCAGCTGTATCTATTCACAGTGACTCAATCCGTGTAAATAACAGAATTAAATTGAGGTCAGATTAAGTAGAGAACAGTGAGAAAACACCCAGTGACCACTTTGATCAGTCAATAAGATCAGATACATCAGATATCTTAAATGAGAACTATGGGGTTAGGGCTTTTCCCCATAGTTCTCCTTAGGGTAATGGGAGGACACAAACTAGCGTCCTCCCGTCACCCTAGGCTCAGTATACTGCGAGCAGTAGCTCGCGGTATACTGAGACGCTGAAGCGGATCCCCACAATCTTGCCGGGATCCGCCCAGCTGCGTGACTGACAGCTGGCTCTGCCTATCTAGAGGCAGCTGTACCCGCCCCCTCCCCCGTCCCCTCCGCCAGTCAGCGCTGGCAGATCGGAGCGGGGAGGGGGAATCCAGCCCCTCCCCTGTCATGCCAGAGAGCCGTGACAGGATTGAGAGGTGAGCGAACGCCGGTATGTGTTCGCTCACCTTCCGATCTACTGAGCCGACCTGTGACAGTCTCATTGTCACAGGTCGGCTAGAACTATGAGGTGAGTGAAAAGCACTCACCTCATAGTTCTCCTTTAAGGGGCATTTAGGTTGTTGCTCAAAATAAACAGTTTTTCCGCCATTTAGTTAAAACCTTATCATTAGGTGTGTGTTTGTGTATGTGTACGTATATACATATACATATATATATTCAGTATATACACCATCTTTGAATTCTTTGTATCATACATATTTAAATTCATCTGGTCCTCAGCAGGTCTTTAAAATTAGGTAAATGCAACCAGAACAACAACAACGCATAACATATTACACTTTATCATTATTTATTTTACAAGCATAAAGCCAAAATGGAGAAGCCATGTGTGAAAAAACTAAGTACACCTTATGATTCAGTAGCTTGTAGAACCACCTTTTGCAGCAATAACTTGAAGTAATCGTTTTCGGGACGACTGTATCAGTCTCTCACATTGTTGTGGAGAATTTTTGGCTCATTCTCCTTTACAACGTCGCTTCAGTTCATTGAGGTTTGTGGCCATTTGTTTATGCACAGCTCTTTTAAGGTCCCCCACAGCATTTCAATTGGGTTGAGGTCTGGACTTTGACTGGGCCATTGTATTACCCTAATTCTTTTCTTTTTCAGCCATTCGGTAGAGAGACAGGGTCTGGGAGCAATCTGAATTGGATAATCCAAATCAGTCCTTAAATATGGTGACTGCATTAGGTTTTTTTTCTTCAGACTTTGTTTTATTTTTTACCAGGTGATCCTGCCAGGAACACACTTCCTGTCCTGATGTGACTGTCCCAGAGAACTGCATATGTATAGTCATATTCTGCAGTGCTTATGAACAATTTAATAGAATTTCAAATGTTTTTGTGGAGTTTTTAATGTGATTTGTGTCTGATGTTTGTTTAAATAATGCCTTAAAGTAACTTTCTGCCATCCACTGCAGTCCTCTATGAGTGAGCCGAGTAAAGGCGACCATACATCTATCGATTTTGTTCGTTGAACCCGCGGGCCGCATGAAAAAAAATAGACCCGATTCCTCCATCAACACAATCAACCTGTTGATCGAGGAATCCCGCTGTTTGCATTGTATTCTGACAGGCGCGGCCGACCCCTGTTAGAATACACGATCGGAGCGGTCAGCTCATTGGCTGCCGGCTCTGATCGTACAAAGATTTTCCGACCAGTTCCTTCAATCAGCTGATCAAGGAATGCCGGCTGAAAGGAAGCAAACAGCCCCATACACTGTGCAAATTTCATCAGGTACATTAAAAACTGGCTGACATTCAACCAGTGTATGGGCACCTTAACAACAACACGCCTTATCAAACAGACCTGTATTGCATAGACAGAGAGGGGGGTGTCTGACAAGTTCTGTTACTGGGTGCTGATTTTTTTTTGTGCACTTGGTCTAACTCCTGGACTGTATAGTCATATTTAGACACCCCACACAACTGATATGACAGGAAGGTGGAGAGAAGGCTATGAAAATGGAGGTTGTTTGTACAAATTGTCTGTCTGACTGCATATCAGTTTGTGTGATTTCCAGTGGGCTTGAAATAAATATAATAGTTTTACTGTACGGGAGACAGTGTACGGGAGATTTATTGCATCTGTTTTTCTCTCCTACACAGTCTAAACGAAAACGAGTGGGTGCCCCATCTTTATTTCAGACTGCATCGAGTTTGCTTCAAAACCCCAAGCCAACAACAGAACCATCACAGACTAACCACGGCACCATAGAACAGTGGGAAGCCAGCAGTGCTAGTCCACCTCTTCTAGACACGGCAAGCCCCAGTAAAAAAGTAAACAGTCCAAGCAAAAAGCCCCGTCTTAGTAAGAAGAAACAAGAGCTGGTCTCTGCTGCCACCAAAGACTCCCAAAATATCTCCAAGTTTTTTTCATCTCAGGGTAAATCCAGCATGTCAAAACATGACAGCGCTACTGTATGTGAAAGCACCTCTACCATTGGCCGAACTAAAAACTCCTCTACTTCTCCAGATGTATTGAAAGAGGAGCAGAGTAGTGATGAAGAAATTGTCCAAAATGTACCATCTCCAGGCTGTTCAGAAAACCTAAAGGTCCAGATGCCAGGAAAACATACTGTGTTACAGAACAATAAAAGTGAACAGTTATTGGAGACCAAAGACCAGACTAGCACTTTATTTCTACATAATTCTGATAGTATGAATGTCTCAGATCGTCTCCAAGATATGCAAACCTCTAAAACAAGTGTTGGGGATACTATGACTCTCTACTCATCAGAAAACCAGGAACTGTCTAATGATTCTTCATGTCAGGAAAGATGGAAGGAGTCAGCGAATTCCAGTACAGAGCAAAACAATTCTAGGTAAGCGCTGTTAGTTGTCTGGGAAATTAATGTGTTAATATTTGCTCTTTATGTAGCAGGGATCTCAAGTCTCCCTGATGTTCAGGGAGTCTCCCTCCTATTAGATAGCGGCTCCCTGACGTCCGCGAGAGAAGCATTTTCTCCCTGAAAGGTTTACTCTGAGTAAACCTTTCCATTAAGATATCAGTGGGTAAAGTTTCAGAGTGAGGCTTGCCTCCTGGAGGAAGGTCATGTGATCTCTAGAGTAGGCTCAGAACGAGGCTCTGCTCTCAGAAGGAAGAAGCTACTTGCTGCACAGAGAGGGCGGATATAGACTACTATCGAGAGCAGGTACAGGCACTGCTGCGGGGTTGAGAGAGTGCTGTTAACCCTTTGTGAATAACATAGAATCAATTATATGTCCTGATTGTCTAGTTATAGAGAAAATATATTTCATTTGCTGCCCATAGCAACTAGTCAACTGTGTATCAGGGACTTTACTCCTCAGCGTTTAAAAAAAAAGGTTTGGGCTGTCTAATAAATTGTGACCTTTACACTGACAGATACTTGAATATCAATTCACAAATCTGTATATATAAATAAATATATAATATTGTATGTATGTATGTTTTCTTTTATATTCTGATGACGGCCGCTCTAAAAAAAACAAAAAAAAACAGAAAGGGCACCTCCCTGAAATGAGACGCGAACCTCCCCGAAATAAGGTTTTGCAGGTTGGGATGTCTGATGTAGTATCTGAAGAGACTTCAATAAAGGGAAAAGTCCACAGGTGCACTGATATGCCTTACACAATAAATGCATTGTTAATACCAGGGAGGCACCGATACCGGTTTTTCGGTTTTCGAGTACGAGTACCGATATTTTGCTTTTAGTACTTACCAATACCATATACCGGTACTTCCGCTAGCGTGGAGCCCGCTTCCCAGGCAAGCAGGAAGTCGGTCGGCAGGTATGACATGCCGCCCGGCTTCCTGATCGCTCAGGAAGCTGGCTCCATGTTGTTGGGCTGGCTTGATTGTGATTGGCCGGAAAACCGGCTTCCCAGCCAATCGGCATCGAGCCAGCTTCCCGGCCAATCAGGAAGCTAGGCAGCGAATAATGACCTGCCTCCAGACTTCCTGTTTGGCTGGCAAGCTGGCTCCACCATTGAACCGGCTGTTCCACCAGCTCGATGCTGATTGGCCGGGAAGCCAGCTTCCCGGCCAATCAGCATGGAGCCTGATTCCCGGGCACTCGGGAAGCTGGGAGGCGGATCATTACTCACCGCCTGGCTTCCTAACTACACGGGAAGCTGGCTCCATGTTCCCCAATGGTAGTGAAGGTCAGAGGAAATCTTCCTCTGACCTGAAGTTCCGGTATCAGGGAAGGTATCGGAGCATTTGGGCGAGTACTTGCCCAAATATCTCGGTATCAGCACCCATAGCGATACTAGTATCGGTGCATCCCTAGTTATTATAGATCGCCTGTGTGCCCTTGTCGCTGCAAACTGTCAAAAAGTGAACAGATTGCTTGGTGATTCACACACTGGCTTTCTTCCTCCTGCTTCTTTTGGGTGCTAAAGCCACTCCTAGCAGCCATTAGGAGGTACTATCAAGAAACAAAATTTATAATGGGCTTTGCATTGCTGCTGGCTCTTAATCCTGCCTGCCACTCAGAGCACCTTTCCCCACTGATCATCTGTTTATTACTGTAATTGCCAGACACAATTATAGTATTTAAAAATAATCTAGTTAAAGATCTGGTAAAATGTTTTCATTTACATTATTGAGCACTTGTCAAGCTTTTTAAAAATAGGGAGGTTTTCTTAAAGCAGTTTGCCAAATAAAAGTTTTATATGTCCCTAAATAATATAACATTATTTGGGTATGCAAATTAGTCATTGCCATAGTATCAGAATAACCAACGCATGCTAAAGCTGCTAAATTTGGCTTGGGTATCTAGTAGGGTTGCACCAATCTTTCGACTACCGAAACATATCGGCCGCAAATGGCACTTTTGGCACTGCTCTGTGTCCCAGCGGGGAGGAGAGAATTTGTCACGGGAGGAGAGCGCTGTGAGTGGCCGGCGTCTCTCCTCCCCACACCGATCAGCCTCCTGTCACAGATCGGGAGAGCGGCGGTGTTGGGGCAGAGACAGCTCTCAAAGCTGTCACAGGAGGCTGGCCGGCGTTGGTGGGAGGAGTCTGCTGTCAGATTGAGCTCTCCTCACCGCTCGCCCAGCCTCCTGTGACAGCGTGTCAGGATGGAGAGCGGTACAAACACTCAGTGATCGCTGAGTGTTTGAAAATAATTGGGGGCAGAGTATGCTTACTGTGTCCTCAATTATGAATGAATGGGACGTGATCTACATCACCTCCTGTTCATTCATGATTGTAGTTATAGTAAACACACAATGTCCTCAAGTTATGAATGAACAGGAACACTCAGTATAGAGGATTCCTGTTCATTTATAACAGAGGCTGCAGAAAAAGAGTTGAGGACTCTGTGTCCTTAATCTCTTTTTCTATTTTAAAAGAGAAATATCAGGGGTCTGTTTAGATGCCTAATATTTCCCCACAGCTCCCAACAGTAAAGTAAAAAATAAAAATATTAAATAAAAATAAAATATAAAAAAATGTAAAAGTTTATACAAAATAAATAAAAATATAATATTTTAAAAAATTTGAAAAATTTAGAAAAAAAAAGGTTTTGGTTTTCGGGCCTGACATTTTGTTTCATTTCAGTTTCGTTTCGGTTTTAAAATGTTCATTTTGGTTCACCTCTAGTATCTAGCCAACAATAACCTTTGGTCACAGAAGGCTTAAAGAAACAACTTCCATGCACAGTCAGTGTGTTTTGTGATGAAAATGTTTATCATTTTCTAGCTCCAGTTTCACCATAGTGGTTGTCTAATTAGCCTGAATGCAAACCAAACCCAGTGAGTAGCCTTCTGTGTGACATTTACTTGTGCTCTTGTTTCCTCTTCCATCTTTTTCTTGACCTATTCTGAGTCATTCATTCTATAGATATAATTTGAATGTGTGCTTTTCTTTTTTTCCAGCTATCCCTTATATCTGCCTACCTCCAGCCAACACGAGTTCGAGAAGAAGACATCAGAAGAAGAGGTGAGTTTTCTGGCATTGTCTGTGATCCAATCATCCTTTACTGCTGTATGACGTACCTATAAACAAGTATCATTCACATTTCTTGGCCAGGAGTCTGAAGAGCCCTCCAGAAAGAGGCCGAGAACAGAAGAAAAATCCTCCATTTTGTCCCATCCAGTGAAAAGCGCCAGTGGCAAAAAGAAAGTGACTTTTGACCCAAATCTTCATCATCAAGACAAGGAAGGCACCGCTAAAATATTACAGCCGCCTCTGAATAAGGTGGTGACGCTTAAAGAGACTGCTGACATTGTGGTCAAATATTTGACTCCATTTTTCCGGGACGGAAAGTTTGCTTCCAAGGTAAGTGAATCTTTATAGTCCAAAGTTACATACAGAGGGGTGATTTATCAAATGGAGCAGGCGAAAACCGGAGCAGATTAGCATAACAACCAATCAGCTTCTCTCTCTCATTTTCAAATCTTAACTGAGCAAACTGAAGAGAGAAGCTGATTGGTTGCCATGTACATCTGCTCCAGATTCTGTGTTCTCCAGTTTTGATAAATTCCCCTCCAATATGTTTTAGGATTTTTATTAAAGCAATCCTGTTGCCCTACTGGAAGCACCAATGATGTCTGTTACCTGTACAGAAGTAACCTCGGCTAGGAAGAGGATAAGTCACCAGCACTCAGTCGTGTAGGATGCAAACATGATCTAGTTCATTGCGAACACGTCACATAGGTCATAACAATGTTTCGGGGCCTTGCAGGGTCCCTTCCTCAAGGTGATGCAGTCACTGTAGCATTAGCTTTTCTTTCTGTGGGTCTCCGCAACTTAGCACTGGGTCAGTAACAATGTGTTTCATAAATCCATTTAGTTCATGTGCAGAAATCTTACAAAGCCAGGGGAAGAATAATCTTGTGCTATATGAGCCCACCATATTGTTTGGCCGTCCGTAGGATTGTGGTTTTGTATGTGATTTTTATTGTCTGTACAAGCATAATGTGGTTTAACCCTTTCACTGCCAGTCCTGGGTTTTTTTTTGCACACACGTTAAACTGCACATTTTAGACCTGAAGATTAGTTAAAGCCCCCCAAATGTATTTTCTGAAACCCTGGAGAATAAAAGGATAGTAGTTTACTTTTTTGTTATGTCCCATAATATTAGTGTAACTGGTTATCAAACCCAAATTCTCAGTAAATAATACACTAAAGTAAATTCCAATGCATATAAACACTGCGGGGGGAATTTATCAAAAATGGAGCAGTTGCTCAGGGCAACCAATCCGCTTCTATCTTCAGTTTGGTTAGTTAAGATTTGAAAATGAAAGAGAGAAGCTGATTGGTTGCCATGGGCAACTGCTCCAGTTTCTCTCTGCTCCAGTGATGATAAATTCCCCTAAATATATTTATTACCCAATATTTTGGTAAAATTTAGAAGATGAGGTTGCGTCGGGAAAATAGAGACCAAACATGCAAAGCCTTAAAATTGCGCACTCCTGTGAAAGGTTTGGCATACAAAATTGTCTAAGATGATGCTTTGAAAGGAAGGGGGCGGGGTTGTAGTAGTGATCAGTCAGCTTGTTAGATGTAAACACACCCCCAGCCGCTATAGCAGCCAGGATTGTGTTGAAAAGCCATTTTGCTACTGACGTAAGCCTCATGTCAGTGGTAGCAGAAGGGTTAATTGGATTTTGTCTATATACTTTTGTACAATAAATACTTATTGTATTATTATAACTAGGGACGCACTGATATTGGTTTTTCGGTATCGAGTACGAGTACCGATATTTTGCTTTTGGTACCCGCCGATACCAAGTACCGATGCTGGTGCTTCCACTGGCATAGAGCCGGCTTCCCGGGCAATCAGGAAGGCGGGAGGTGGGTAATAACATGCCACCTGGCTTCCAGATTGCCCGGGAAGCCGTCTTCATGTTGTTTGGCCGGCTCCATTGTGATTGGCTGGAAGCACCAGCCAATCAGCATCTAGCCAGCTTCCAGTCCAATCAGGAAGCCGGGCTGCGAGTAATGACCTGCCTCCTAACTTCCTGATTGGCCGGGAAGCCAGCTCCTTGCCGATTGGCTGGAAAGCCAGCTTCCCAGCCAGTCAGCATCGAGCCAGCTTCCCGGCCAATCAGGAAGCTGGGAGGTGGGTCATTACTCGCCACCCTGCTTCCTGATTGGACGGGATGCCGGCTCCATGTTCCCCTACGGCACTGTCAGTCAGAGGAAATCTTCCTCGGACCAGAAGTTCCGGTATCAGGGAAGGTATCGGAGCATTTGGGCAAGTACGAGTTCTCGCCCAAATACTCGGCACCAATACAAGTATCGGTATCGGTGCATCCCTCATTATAACCTATTTAGAACATGTGTATGGGAGATTGTATTTCTTACTTTCAGGGACTGTAGGGAAATCTCCCTGATGGGAAACCATATGAAAAAAAAATAAGCCACAAGAGGTCTCATCTATTCCTCTCTCTGTCAGGGTCTGCTGTTCTATCAGAAAAACCTAATGTGGAAAATCTAGTTCCGTGTTACTGCCGGTATCGGCCATGTGCTCTAATATAATGTGAAATGTGTTTGTCTCTAACAGGACCTGTTTAAGGCATGCGCAAGGCACCTTTCTCACCACTTAGCTGGGGATAACAAGAAACCTCTGCGGAAAAATGGTGAGTCTTCCTGTGTTACATGAGGGTGGAACATCCAATAAATAGCACAGGTGCTGTCAGGTAGGTAAATATATGTGAGCTTAAAGGGTTAGTCAACCTGAAAATCACATTTCAATTCTGATGTTCAATTTCAAGCAGGATTGTACTTTTCATAATGAAAATAAGTGTTTCTTATTGTCCTTTCTGCACATATATTACTCTCTCACTTATCCCCCTCCATGGTTGCCTTGAATCTCTTTGTTCCGTAAGATGCTCTCTTAAGACCCTGACTTCCTGTAGCATCATGTAACAATCCAGGGAGATAGCAGAGCCTGCAGGGGGACTACATATCCCATGATGCACTGCCTTACTTCAAGCTGGCTGCTCCTTCATTACAGCACCACTTCTGTTTTTCTTCACCCACCTTCCTACTTCCTCCTTTAATGCAAGCACATGTGAGGGAGTAGGTGAAAACCCTATGCTGTTGAGTGAGAGTGAAAGCTAAAATTTGGGACACAGGTGGCAACAAAAAACATACAGCTTTTGTTTTTTGTTTTAAAGATGTTTGATCTGAGATACTCGGTATACTGCAATTAAAGGAGAATTGTAAATTGAAAGTGAAATACACTCATCCCTATAATTAGAGCCGACAGGTGACACTGAAGCTGTCACACTCTCGGCTCATACTGTTGATCGCTCAGTTCCTGATCTTCTCCCTGCAGGGAGTGGTGACTGTCAGTGCTCCCCACAGGGATCCCCCCCCTCTCTGTTCCTCCAGCACTGACTGTCAATCGGGTGGCGGGGATCTTTCCCGACCACAGCACGGCTCTGTGGTGTCAGCATATAGTGCCCAATAGCCTGCTATATGCTGTGTTTTGTTTTGGGTCACAGGAGGACATAGTCAGTGTCCTCCTGTGACCCTAAAAGAACCAAGAGCTAAAAAAGTTTGGTCCATCGTTCTCTTTTGAGCTATTATTATACAGGATTTATATAGCGCCAACAATTTGCTCAGCACTTTACAAATGAGTGGAGACAGTACAGTTACAATACAATACAGTTTCAGAACAATAGGGTTGGGAGGGCCCTGCTCGTGACAGCTTACAATCTAGTAGATCTTTGATCTGAGGTACAAGGTATGGTGCAATTACCGATGGGGTATTTGATCTGATCTGGGGCAATTTAATTTGGGGTATTGTCTTTGATAAAGCCTATTTTTTTATATTGAATATTCATTTATCTCCTCCTCCGCCTCCGCAGTGAAAGAAGAAGCTCAGAAGTTCATCAAGACATTTTTTAAGACCCGAACACTTTGTGAGAGTGAGACAGACTGGCAGGAGATGCTGCAAGCTGCCACCCAATGCCCAGTGCTGAAGAGATGCCACCTTGAAAAATGAATGATCTATGCACTAACAGAGAGCTCAGTGAAGCACACAGCTACCTCACACCACCTGTTGTACTGCTCATCGGTCTGTGTGTGCGCTGTCTGTTCTCTGTCTATACCACACATCACATTGAAATGGTTTACATGTCATACCTTCAGACCATCTTTTTTCCCCCTCTTTGCTGTGCTTCCTATAAACCTCTTGTCAGTACAGCACTCCATGCTTACAAACCTCTCTTCTATTAACACACTGCTGAGGTAGCAGAAGGGACAAAATCATCACTGTGTACATTTTTGGAGTCCGTTCACCCTTGTCTGATTTTGAACTGTATTTATGTTTAGGGAATTCATGCAAATAATACAACATTACCTTCGCTGAAGATTTCTATGTAGCGGTGAACCAAAGTCAAAGCATGGTGCTAGGACATGCTAACTCTGTCTGCTGCTTATAGTGAATAGTCTTTTGCAGATACTGCTGCAGTGGTGCCATCTTGTGGATAAAGATGGTACAGCTACTATAATATTTGGTGTCAGTCATACTACTGTATCTTTGAACAAAGAAGCGTTACTTGGTTGTGCTGCTATTGCTTTTTCATGCTGATTCTATTGCTAGTAGAATGGTTAGCTGGTAAAGTGTACTGAGGATGCAAAGTGCTGGAGAGTATACATCATAAGGGGGGTGGATGGCTGATGGGTGCACCTTGCAGAGGACTACAAGGCCACAAGCCATAACTGTCTGACTTCCAGGTTGAGTGGTGTTTAGCCTGGAAGTGAGGTTGCAGCTACTGCACTCGGCAAACTTTCTTTGGGGGACGGCTGTGAAGAGAAGGGAAATATTACAGCAAAAGCTGGATTTTTTTTTCTTAAAGCGTATCATGACCTAAAAAAAAAATGTCATATATTGCAGCTTACCAATCCTTAAAGTGGCACTAAACTGAGGAGTTAAATATTAAAAATACATTCAAGTACCTTACCTATTAACAAAAATGTATCTTATTTGTGTATCACTCAGCTGTAGTTCCTCAAATCATCTCTGAATTGGTGGTGACACTGTCCTTCCTTCTGGAGGGTGGCTACTTTTGTTCCCCATAGTCCCCGTGTGTGTTGTAAAGTAGTCACCGCTCCAAGCTTACTCCAATGATGGACTCTAATGTATCCTTTACTTTTCTAATTTGTATTGCGATTGTAGTCCATCACAGGAGTGAGCTTGGAGCGGTGACTACATTACAACACGCACAGGGACCATGGGGAACAAAAGTAGCCACCCTCCAGAAGGAAGGACAGTGTCCGCATGAATTCAGAGATGATTTGAGGATCTACAGCCGAGTGATACACAAATAAGGTATAATATTGTTAATAGTTAAGGTACTTGAATGCATTTTTAAGATTTAACTCCTGAGTTTAGTGTCACTTTAAGTCTCATTCACACTATGCGTTTTGGGATTCCTGTGGCAGGAAGCTATGAGTTCCTGCGGCAGGAATCCCAAATCTTCTGCCTAGATGTGGACGCTATCACCCGTATCTGTAAGCGGCAGTCTGCAGGTAATCGTATGTCATATGAGTAGAAGTGGTTTGGACTGGATCACTATTCCTGGATGCATCTGTTGTGGCAGTGTAACGGGTGACAGCGTCTGCATCTAAATAGAAGATTTGGGAATCCTGCTGCAGGAATCCCAAAGCGCTTGGTGTGAATGTAGCCTCAGATGTGGGGGCTGCATTTAGTTCTCATTTTTAGGCTTTTTTTTTCCTTCATGCTCACCTGGTGACCCAACCAGTTTGTCTGTTATTTTGTTAACGTCCTTAACAAACCAAGCTGTCCAGCAAACTTGGCAGTTAGAGGGTTGTGAGAAACCACTGAACACTGACAGGGAAGCTTACATTGGTCAGCTTTTATTCATTTATGTAAAGTTTATCCCAAAAGCAAAAAAAAACTGTTGCTGCAACTGCTTAAAACGCATTACATGGAGTTCAGATTTATTTTGTTAGACAAGTCTGTCTAAATTTGCATCTAACACCTCTCTACGGGGTGACAATACTGCTGTCTAATGGGGTTCCATTACTTCCACCCTAAGACAGGAAATGTGTTGGATGACCAGGTAAAAATAAAGAAAACAAATGCAGCCATTACATTTAAGGATCGGTAAGCTGCAATAAATGCCATTCTTGTTTTAGGGTTTAGATACACGCTAACAGAGATTAGGGAATCAAGTACATTTATTTATATTGAGAAGCTGGGCTTTCTTTTCTGTACCTTTGCAAATCTTCCTCTCCTTCCAGTTAGGTACATTTTCTTACTTCCATGGGAACATTTGTTATCTATGCTCTTCTTTTGTTTTCAGGGAAAAAATCCTTCTAATCAGAGTTCCAATGGAAACAATGTTTGCATTTGAGGAATAAAACAAAACTGACATTTTTATTTTTGCTTGACTAGGAAAATGGGATTTCTATAGTGAAAGGGATTTGCTGCTTCTGTACACTGAATATGAATGTGTTGCTTTTTAACAGCCATAGGTGTCCAACTTTACTGTTTTTATCGAACGCTGGAAGGGGGTGGAATTGCCTTAAAGTTCATGTTTTGTGTGACCAAGCCATAAATAAATCTCAGATTACAGAAACTGTGTGTAACCGCTTACCCTTCGTAAAGCTCATTTTTCTTCTTTAACGGGCACTTCAATGTCATATGGTTCAGATATTTTATTAGATATGATACAATGAAATATGATAAAGCTGAACTCCAGGCAAAGTGAGTGGTCTTTTAATGGTGAGTTGCCACTAGTGGCAGAGCGTCTAGTGTGTTGTGAACCTAAGACTGCACCTATTCCTTTCAGACATCTGTCTGTCTTCTAACTTTTGAGACCTAAAGAAGAAGTAAACTTTTAAAACCCCTTAGCAGCACGTTTTGCTCCTTTTCCCGTATGTTGATAACCAACATGAAAGGTCCCGCCACTTGAAAGGTTATGTTTGATTTTGCTCATCTACCTTCTCTGATGCGCTCAGTTCACAACTAACTAGCCAGTGTCACTTATGTATAGGATGCTTTTTTCCCTCTCGTATCACACGTGTACAATGCACACCCCACAGAAATAACTGTTTGTCTCATGTAATGTCTCTCTGTCTTAAGAGCTAAAACTAGTTCAATCAGGGCTCCGTTTAAGCAGGACAATTGTGCTGGGTAGACCGTCTGCACTCTGGCAGCCAGCAGTTTATGTAAAGTTATCTATAGAGGTGATGATACTGGTCATAAGACACTTGGCTCATGAGGGTACCATTGTTAGAACAGTTACCAAAAGTTAGAACAGAGGTGCACTAGTACATCATTCATTGTACTAGTTCACCTCTATGAAGTTTCCAGCCAGGTGCTAAGGATAATGGGCCTCATTTATTCATGTGTTTGAAAGAACTGTCTGTGATGCTATATGGCGAAGCCAATCATATTCTTATTTCATTCTCTAAGTACAGTTTTCAGATGCAGGTTTGATGAGCTGTTGTTGAGTGAGGCAGCCATGTAGACAGCACACCATGGGCAGACAGTTCAGGAGGAAGAGTTACATAGTTAGGTTGAAAAAAGACACAAGTCCATCGAGTTCAACCTATAGAGATATGAGTGAGGAAAAAAAGAGAAGAAAAGCCTAAACAGAATGCTTTGCTCACAGCTACCCCCTGTTGATCCAGAGGAAGTAAAAAAAAACCCTATAAAGCATGGTTCAATTTGCTCCAACAGGGGGAAAAAGAGAGAGTTGGCATACCCTTACATAGTTGCAGCCTAAAATAAAAAGAATTGTTTTTGAAGAGTAAATAAGCACATTGCAGGGGAGACAATGACAGAACAACCAGTTAGCAGTCCTGGTGTACAAACAAGCAGAGGCTGTTATAGGTGACTTGTCTCTTTAATGAAAGAATATTATTACAGTTAAAACTGAATTATTAATCAATAATAGTTTAGATTTTATCTGTTTTCTGATTAAACGATCTCTGATTAAGTTAATAAATTATGAGCTTTTTATTTTAGAGCATATATAAACCCCAAAACAAAAATGTTATATATTACATTTCTCCTTAAATGAGGCGGCTGCATCCATTCTTTTTTTCAGGCTTTTTTCCTTTATTTTCACCTGATTATCTTGCCAGTAACATGTTTCCTGTCCTAGGGTGACAACATTAATTCACTGTACTGTATCTATGGATGAGCAGTGTTGCCATCCTAGGCTGCTCTCTGATTTGGACTACAAATCCATCCATTATATAGGAAGGTGTCCTTTTGTAGATCACAAAAGATAGCTGCGAAAACGGATAACATTGTTTGATATATCACTTCATTGGACAGGAAGCCACAAGAACTCCGGCATTCTAACTGGAATACTGTATTTTTCCGTACTTGTAAAAAGAAAGCTAATGCAGCCACCGCATCTAAGGACTGCTAAGCTGTAAATATATAGAATTTTGTTCCTGGGTGGAGATATTCTTTAGATAGCAAGCATTTCTCTATTTACAACAATCACAATATTTCTGTCCATAAAATCATTTGGTTTAAAATAGGCTAGAACTGCATTCACATCAAAGAAATAATGATTTTCAGAAATTGATTAGCCAACTGATCCTAGCCCAACCAGCCAATGTAAACATGGGGTACCGTGGACATTCCCAGTTGTAATTTAATAGACATAACTCTTTGGTTCAGGCAGACATTCCGTTCAGATCATATTAAATGACACATTAAATAACTTCTATTTATGATCTCGGAAGGCTTTTCATTCTAGCATGTAGCAGTGTCCTGGTTCTCTATGATCAAGGCAAGTGTGTGGTACAGCTCTTTAGCCTGTGGAGGAAAAAGAAAAGAAACAACTTAGTAGGTTGAACTAGAAGTTTTCTATTAGGGCTTTTTTGATGAATAGATTCAGTTCCCTGAGCGATAACATTGGCTATTTGTAGCAATGAAAGCCGTAAATGGCACTGTTATGGCAAATTATATTATTGACACATATAACACAATAATTATTAAAGCCACATTCCGTGTAAATGATCATTTATACACTGCACAGGGTGTGTATGTTACCATTAAAGAGATAAGTGTTATGTACAGAGAACTGCTCCAAAGTATAACAATTTTACCTTGCGGCACGCTGTCCCTGCACACAACTCCCAGCTTTAGGCACTGGAGAGAGGATGAGATGTGATCCAAGCTGTGCAACGCTCTAGTTGCATCAGCCGCCCCTCTTCACTATCCTCTAGTCACAAACGGATCACGGATGGCGTGGCTACGGTGCCATTCACTTAAATGGGCCGCCACGCCCCCTCCTGTCCGGCAAAATAGTGAGCCGGCCGTAATGTGAGGCAGTGCGTTCCGGCCAGAATCTGACCGGAACGCACTGCATATGGTGTGAACTAACCCTGAAGTGGCTCAGAATCAGTCTCCCTGGCTGATTACTCAGAAACTACCTAAGGCCCTGGGCAAATCAGATATAGAACCTGTTGGACAGGACACAGGACAGCGCTTGTGGCCTCAGTGATCAGAGTCAGCAGATAACGCTGTAATTCGGTACATAAGATCCTCCATGACCAAAGCAGTAGCGGATAGAAGCTGACGCGGTATGGTGGGAAATAGTGAATGACACTCTACCCAGCAGAGGACTACAGCACTCAGCCTGACAGCATTAATCCCTTATATGGCAAATCTGGCAGATGGGACCTAGGACCCTTCAGGGTGCTTCCAGTCTGCATAGAGAAACACCTTAAATGGTGGATGGAGTGATAAAGTGTTTGCAGCTGTAGGAACTTTGAAAGACTCAAGACCGAGTCTTTACCCGCCCCCGGCTTCCTGATTGGCCAGAAAGATGGCTTCATGCTCCCTCGTCACCTGGCGACTGGGAGCATGGAGCCGGCTTCCCTGCTAATCGGGAAACCAGGTGTCGAGTCTTTACAAGCTGCCTGGCTTCCTTAATGGGACTTCCAGTAACGGTATCGGCGAGTACCGAAAAAAAAATATAGGTACTTGTACTCGATACAAAAAAAAATGGTATCGGTGCATTCCTGATTTATTATACAGCCTATTCCTCCTTCTATGGTAGATTATAAGAGGTAACGCCTCACCTCATAAAAGCACTTGCTGCCTTCTTATAATAAAACAGTGTTGTATTACCCTACATATATTTTCAACAATTTTGTTAGACTAGTCACGTGTTTCATGGCATTTTTTATTACGCCGGTCCTACGCTGTTAGAATTGTAATGTGGGCTTGGCAAATTGTGATTAAGAAATTGAAGGAGTCAGACTGAAAATCGCCAATCATCTGCAGTCCCTGTTTAGGTATTCTAGCAGTCATTCTAGCATGTAAGAATACAATAGCCGGCAGGGTGGATTCCTCCATTCGCACTGTTTAGTGTGGATGGGGGAAGCGAGCAGGTTTTCTCCTCTCCAGCTTATACGTGTATGGCTGTGTAAGGCCAGCTCTAGGGTCGGATTCTATATTTATCACTGCTGGTGTCTTTGTAGCAGCAAAAGTTGAACCAGAATGCCGTTCTTTTATTAAATTGACTGTGATGCAATATTTTTTACAACCTGCTGCACATGTGCTTACCTCCTGGAGCTCCACCCATAGCGTGCGCGGGTTGGCTGCCGAGCCGTAGTGCAGCTCTACCCCTGGCAGGGTGTTGCTATCCAAAGGACGCAAAGTACGCATGTTCTGCACGTCATGTAAGCTAACAACGGTATGCGGTTTCTGTACATACAAGAAGCAGTCAGAAAAGTTAATACATATGGTTGGTTAGAAATAAGAGAACTATAGATAAAATAACACAGGGGCAATATACAGAAACAATATTTCATGTAGTAAGTGAATGCAACGCACAACATGGGCTGTGGGACCATCAGTGCATGTCCATCTTCTCCTGTGCTCAGATATCAGCAGAATGTACATGTCAGTTTACACTGCACCAAACATTTCCCAACTAGTAGTAAAGGATTCCCTGTTTTCCGCCTTCTGGGAACATCATCAGAACACAGATATAGCATGTAAATGTCAGAACATTCCAGGGCAGTGTTCATATAGTGACAACTCCTGCAGTCTAGAATAGAAACTCGCCTCAAGCTGCAGAAGTCGTTTATTTGGGATAATCGTGTAGCGATCACCCCCAAAGGAGCCGCTGAAATAACCCGGGTCATCACTAGTCTGTCTAAGGTTTTTTTTTTCTTCACCTGCCCCATTAGCATTAACCACCCTCTTCTAGTGGGGCTCACAAAGCTGATGTCCACTCCAGTAATACAATGCTGAATAACTTTTATTAAACTTCTTCACACTGGGGAGAGAGGGTATAGGGATCCCAGACATCCAGGGCCAGACCTTTTTAGCATCTCACTGTAGATCCACTTGTAGTACAGCAAATAGTATTTGGAGTAACAGATTAGCAGGGATGAACATGAATCCTCAGCAGGAGAGACACCAGCCATGCTCTAGAGGTCCTCTATGTTCCAGGCACCTCCAGCAGACATCAGCTTCCCTGGTTCTCCTCTGGCAAACAACACAGGCCTCCTCCATAATGGAGGCCTAAGGAAACTCTTCCCACACTCCAGCCTCTGCCCACCCCCAGGCCTCAGGACTAGCCTTGGGGTGGCTGGGCAGCACCCAGCCCTAATGCATGGCTGGTCCCAGCTAGTCTGAGCACATGGCAAATCCCTCCAGTACCCTATCCCAAATTGCGCCACTGGTTGTGAGAAACCCAGTGATTGGCTGCTGTACTATACATACACTTACAGTGCCTCTCATTGGTTGTCCCACAATATAGCAGAGTCACACTCCGCCCAGGTAGGTACAGTCAATGCCAGACACCTGGAATTAACCAGATAAATGCCAACTATAATCCAACCAGGCTGACTACAGCCCTGGCAATCACTACATGTCATAAGAATGTATCCAAACAGAATTTTCTTCCACATATCAAAATCTGAAGCCCAAATGCTTCCAACTTTTCCAATTAAAAGATAGAGAACAGTAAATACTTCTGTCATTTTTTCGTTTTGGTGTCTTTCTCTTATTGTTCCTGTGACATTGACAAGAAGACTCCGATATTAATAATGACCACAGGTTCTAGTCTTTCCCCTTTTATAAAACAAAAGTGTTAGGTTGAAGTCTTTTTCCCTGCTTGATCAAGTTCTCATCCCTTCCTGTCCCAACAGGAAGTGAGGGGAAATCTCTTTAATGGGGACACAGACTGCAAATAAAAAGCTGGCAGAGGTTCTATGTCTGTCTCACTTTGTATAGCTTAGCAAAAACAAGTCAAAGCGATCAATAGAAGCAGGCAACTGAAGAAACAGGCAAATCCGCCCCCCACCTTTATCTGCCATTTGGTTCTTCGGACACATGAATACCAGGGGTGTCAAACCCCATTCCTGTCCACGTCATTTTCAGTATTCAGCGTCCCAGTATTTAATTGACATTTATTCCGTCATACAACGCCGTACCAAAATTAATTTTATATATTTAGTTTGGGACAGAAAGCTTTATTTTGGTCGTATTTAATTGCCACTGGGTTTTTTTCTCATTTGTTACCATATATGCCTCATTTACACACAACGCAAGCAAAATTGTATATTGCGCATATACGAGCATCTATGCGCCCATATATGAGCATATATGTGTGCACTATATGCAATCCCAGAATTCATCACTCATAATGGAATTTTGAATGTGCTGTACGCGCGTAAACACGCATATGTGCGCGTAAATACGCAGAAATACGCTGCCCGGACGCATCTCTGTTTCCATTCTCTTTTTGCGCATATATACGCTACGCATATATACGGCTCCATACGCGGCTATGCGTATGGAGCCATTTATTTGCATATGGTACAATACGCGCGGCAGTGTGAATGAGGCCATAAAGTGGGTAGCCCCACTGCAAGGGTTAATAATAACACAGACCGTAACATGACCGGTTTTGGCTTTAGTTCATTTGTTTCCTTTTTTAGGTATGTGTCTTAAAATAAAGAAAGACAATATGTACAAAGCCACTTAAAGCACAGCTTAGGTGCCATAAACACAGTTGCTTGATGGGTCGGGGCCCCTAGTACAGGAAACACCAATCTGTAAGCAGGCACCAATGGACACATACCTGACTGTTGCTTTGTAGTATCTGAAGCTGTTGGTGATTCACTGCTGCATAGCATGGAGAGATCACATCAGGCTCACTGATCCTTTTTATAAGAAATATGTTGTACTCAAACAGAGGGAGAGAAGACACGGTTTCTAAAGAACAAGCAGAATGGTTCATTAGTAATCTGAAATACATGCTGACACTTTTATAATGCTCTGGGGAAAAAACATTGGTAGAAATCCAGAATCTGCAATTCTCCTATTTTAAATCCCTGTACCCCTAAAGACCAGCTGACCCCTCAGTTTAAATCTGCTAAATACATTCCAAGGGCATGAAAACCAAAAGGTGTGTAAAGTCTTACAGTTTGTGTTCTTTAGAAAGCAGGCACAGGAAAAGCCTATCCCCTGGCAGCATGCTATTCATACAAATCTGTCCTTAGTCTTACCTAAAAAGCGGACCTTGGCCTGCTGGACATTTAAGTTTTCCAAATTCTTCATTTCCTGCAGTAGGGATTGCTGTACAGCCTGTAGGTTCAGCCGATTCTGCACAGAGCTAGGAATGTAACTCAGAAGTTCCTGTCTGTAGAAGAGAACGTGTACACAAGTGTTATTCCACATCTACACGAAACACCTCAGACAAACGTTTACTGATGTATCATAATAACATCGAGCTTCATTTATCAAATGAAAACATGTCTTTACCGCAGCAATCAGAATCCAGCTTTCAATGTTTCTACATTGAGGATAGTTGTAGATAGCCAACCACTGCTAACTACTCTGGTGCTGCAGATATGTCATCGTTTAGCAATAGATAGAAGCTGAAGGGGCGGCACAGAGACTGAAAGTAGTCAGGAACAATATGGGTTAATCAGTAAGGGGCCCCTATGATACCTATGAGCACATTAATGTGCATTGAATAGGCAATTTAATTCCTATAGGCCAACTGTATCGGACTTATTTTTTGCAGTGTGCAGTGTGTGTGCGCATTCACATCCTTGTGTTCAGGGTCAGCTGTGCAGTTTACTTCATTGATATGCTTTGGGGACCCATTAGACACAAATGGGACGCTCCCCAAAATGCATTCGCAACATTTATGTTAAAACACAAAGGTGACATCCGTTCTGATCAGGAGGGAATCCGTCATGGATCCCCTCCTGATCCGGACCGAGTGATAGGGGCCTTAAGGTCCCCACACACCTTACGATAATCGTACGATAAATCGCGGGAAATCCCGCGATCGTACGATTATGGTAAGGTGTGTGGAAGCCGTGCGACCTCTACTACTGTAAGGTCGCACGACTTTAAACTTACGAACATATTTGCAAACCCGCCGAGCCTCGTACGATGTTCGGCGGGTCTGTAGCATGTTCGTAAGATAAATGCCGGGCGGGCCGGTGTGCGCAAGCGCACACTGCCCGTTCGGAATTGCGGTCATCGGAAGACCGCCCCTCAGGGGGCGTGGCTTGCGATCATCGCAAGTACGATCTGCCTATGAAAGATAGGCAGATCGTACGCTTTTTTAAGTACCTTACACTCATGGCAAGACAAAAGTCTTGCCATGGTTGTAAGGTGTGTGCCCAGCCTTAGAGTTCATAAAATCTTGCAACTATCAATGTGTCCTACAGACGTTCCTACAAACAATTCAGATCAAGTTTGAATGCAGAGGTGTCACAATAACAACTCTGCTCCCAAATGTCAGCAAAGGGGCGGAACAAGTGCCGTGATGCAAGTCGGCGGCCATTATCTATCATGATTGATGTGGATCTGCATCAATGGATGACGTGATTGACATATGGATTATTGGATTTGGATTTTGGTGTTTATTTACTATTGTACTGTTTATTTGGTGAATGAGTAGGGGTAACAACTACACCTTATTCATGAGGGGGGGGGAGCCAGAATCTGGGTGCCCTCTTTATAAAATGGGTGAGCCCCCCAGGCCTCCCATATTGAGGGCATGTGGCCTGGTATAGTGCAGGGGGGGAGGGAGGGGCGCACACTCTTTCCTCCCCCCTTCCTGCCCTGCCATGCTGCTGCTCGGATCAAGGGTCTGGTAAGGGATTTTAGGGAGGATTCCATGCTTTTTTTTTTTTTTTGGCATTGGGGTCCCCCCTAAAATTCCTTCTAAACCTAAAGGGTCTGGTATGAATTTTTTTTTCTAATATCACTTTGCTGCAACGAATTTTCGTTTGTAAATATTGTTTAACGCATCTGAGGTGAACGAAAGTTTTGGATTCGTTCCAATCAGAATCCCGAAACGAATTGACTTTCAGACCCAAATTCCAAAAAACTAAATAACAAAAAAATTTAAAACTAAACGAACCAAATTTTTTGCTGGCGCACATGTCTACAATGAACACATAGTGCAGTCTATACGGACATATTGATTTGGATTTTACTCACTTATCTGGAGCAGTCATCATCCCCTTCACTTTATGAAGAATGGCAGACGCTGTTCCTACGAACATCTCCAGTTTATCTTGGGGGCTCAGTAACAAAGCGTTTCCTTGCATGTATTGCTGTCGCACCTAGAGGAGGAACACAGGTTTCAACCTATAATAATTGGGTGTAGTGACATGCTTCGAATCTTTTTTCATTCACTGACTGCACTAACCAACCACTGGCCTCTAGTGTTCCACAGGAAAGTATGATCACTATGCACAGATTATCAGGAGGTCACATACACTCCTACAGACTTACTTACATTCATTTTTTTTCTCAAGATGGGAAACGGTCACAGGGATCCCCTGGGATAAAGTCACTAGCCTATCATGGTTGCCTATTTCTGGACCTGTTCGTTTTATACTGTACAGCTTTGTTTTCATAGGAACATTACAAAACAGCAACAGTGAGCGAGGGCCCTTGTTGTGTTCTGTTATTACGATCACCGTCATCACTTATTTGTAAAAGTTATCAATCATCTTTCAATTTGTAGTGATGGAAATTAAACTAAAATGATATTCATGGTATTATAGTTGCTGTATACGCTATACCCAGTGAGGCCAAGAGAAGAGAATGCTCATGATAAAATGCATTATTAGAAGTGTTTACAAACAGGTAAGGATTAACGTGTGTGTAAACGTAACGGTAAGCGTCTCTTATTTGCTCCCTTTTATTCTAATAAATATTCTGTTGAAAGCATTACATTTGTTCGATGAATGCAAACAATACCTGTTGAGCCTGCCAGAAATCTAGTGAGTTTGTAACATCATGCCTGTGCTGCACGGAAATTCTAAACAACGTTATTAGCCCTTCCGCTTCAGCTACAGAGCAACCCCACGTTTTAGAGATTAGAAGGAGAAGGTATTCTGTAGTCCAGACCAGGAGGATGACAGTGCGGCTTCTCCATAGATACAGTACACAAAGTGAGTGTTGTCATACCAGGACACGGAACTGTGCTACCAGTCAAGCACTAGGGAGTACCAAGAGTCCAGAACATTACTTTATTGATTTCACAATTATTGTGACAAGAGATAGCCAATGTTTTGCGAGCGCTCAACAATCCATCTTTACCAGGGCTAAGCAATTCCTTGCACACTCAAAAGGACCGCAACTCACACTGCTTGCAAGTGTCATTTTACACATCAGAAGATGAATTTTGACAGCTGCTCTTGCTGCGTAGTACATAGTAATTCCTAACTTCCAGTAGGCAGCAACATGAGAAGAGGAGCAGAATATAGGAGATTTTAGGGAGTTTTTTAGGATGTCATTCCTATGATTAAGGTTCTCAAGTGGTTTAAGTATATCTGGAACAATACTATTTATTCTAGTTTTACAAAGGGTAAGAAAAAGGTTGGAACTTCTTTCAGTTTTATTTTCGGTCAGTGTCCTATTGAGAACATTTCCTTAAATCTCTGTCCTGTAGACACATCAGGAAATAAAAGAAAATCTAAAGTGAAGTAAATCCTACTACTTCGTTGTTACCACAAGTGTCCCCACTGGAAGATTTCCCCTCACATTTATTCCCGGTGACATTGGTATGATTTTCTCAGTAAAGACACAGACAGCATTACAAACCTGACAGTGGTTAGGTTAAGCCTTTCCCCTCGGTCCACAGCTAGATAAAGATGGCCTGACATACACTTTAGGTGTTTTAATGGCTGCAAATGCAATTTCAAGGATCACTCACCTCTGATAACTGAAAGCAGCAAGCTGTTTACTGGCTAAATGAGGGTATTCGCTGCATTGTTTGTACTGATGTTGATAAATAATCTGTCTACAACGCAAATGTTCAGTGTACACTGTGATTGTAACATTACTTTTTTCTTGTTTACAATTATATCCTGAATGTCATACAGTTGTAAATAACTATAGAATTTTCAATACAAACAGAAAAACACAAACTTTGTGGTACCTGGCTAAAGTGCACTTGAACAAAGAGTTCGCTGCGTCCCCTTAGTGTCGCTTTCCATGTGACCCTTTTGAACTCCAAGATCACGGAATTGTCCTGGAGCATGAAGTCATGAATATAATCTCCAGTACTCAGAGGCCGCACCATCTCACCTATCAGAAGTAGAAATGATCACATTTACTTCTATTTTCCTTCCACTAACTGACAGAATTAGACAAGCAGATCAATACATGTACCTAGAAGTACTAAGTGTAAAAAACAAAACAAGGCAAGTGGATTTGCTGTATTTTTCTTGGATGTTTCGCTGGTCATCCAACTAGCTTTCTCAATTTTGAATTGAGAAAGCTAGTCAGATACCTAGCAAAACTTCATCAAGAAAAACACAGCAAGTCCAGTTGCCTTGATTTATTTTACAAATATGCCATGACATGGATGAATGGGAACATTCACAGACATAAGTACTCAATAGTCACCTTTGTTCTTGTTGGCAGATATGGCAAATTCTTCAACCTCACTTGAATCGGTAACCATCAACTGCTCACAGATCTCAGGGACCAGATCACCTGCCACCTAGTGGATGGACAGGGAAATGCTTAATTCATATGACCATTTTGTTATCTGTGCAAACCAGGCTAACACAGGTAATTCTATGGAAACTGATTGTGTTCAAACAGAATCAAATTACAGTAAAATAGCCTTACAATCAGTTGTTTAAGTAAAGTCTCATCACTTGGCTCTCCCCCCACTCACCCTGGAAATTCAGGGGACTCCCGATTTTGGGGGTCCTTTCCTGGTTCTCCAAGCAGTTGAAGACAACACAGTCACTATAATGCAGTAGGGAAGGAATGTCACTAGAGGAAGGATGAAGTGGTTGGAGCAACAACATGGTCAGAGAGCCTGGGAATGCAAATCTAAAGGTAGTAATCCAGGGTGTTTAGTAGGTGGGGGGGATGGGGTGTTGTGTGATGAGAGAGTTGGGTAATGGGGGTTCTGTGTGGCAGAGACGCCTAGTAGGGATGATCGAATGTGTCTGGGTTCATATCATGTGGGGTCCTCTAACCCAGCATGGAGTCAGATATATGCGAACTTAAAACTGAACGCCATTGAAGTCTATCGGGAGGGAATCTTGAAAATGAGTTCTGGCCAATTTCAAGGCCAATAGGCAAGGGAGTGTAAAAATGAGCAATAGGAGCTGGACACCGCCATAAGAGACATGCAATAAATATTTTTTTAAATACCATACAGTGGAAAGAGAGCCCACTTTTTAATCCACGGTTGAGGGTGACATGGGATAAACACCAATACTTCCAATTACATGTTTTGGACATGCCTTTAAAAGAGAACTATGGGGTATACCTTTTTTTTGCATTTTTAGTTTCCTAATTATACAGGAGTACATTTTGTAATCCCGATCAATCCTGATAATATTGCCGGGATCCTCCCTACTCTTCTCTCCTCCCATTGAGTGACAGAGGCTTGTAGGAGCTGCTGCGCATTCATGAATACCAGTGCAGGTGCAGCAAATCAGGGCATCTTCTATCAAAGATTATTCATGTCATGTCAGTTCTACCAACACTTGTATAGCTATTCTTGCAGCTCTGCCCCCCATCCCTGCCTCTCATACATGCTGCTGTCTTGGGACATATACATAAGGAATAACACAGACAGTGAAGGTCCATCCCCCAACCTCCCTCCCCTCCCCTCCCCTCCATGCTGCTGTCTCAGGATGAAGACGGTTTTTCCTGGCCAATCAGGAAGCAGAGAGGCGGGTCATTACCCGCCGCCCGGCTTCCCGATTGGCCAGGAAGCCGCCTCCATGCTGTTTGGCAGGATTCCCAGCCAATCAGCATGAAGTCGGCTTCCTGGCCAATCAGGATACCGGGCGGCGAGTTATTACCTGCCCCCTGGTTTCCTGATTGGCCAGGAAGCCGGCTCCATGTTCCTTCGAGGCACTGCAGGTCAGAGGAAATCTCCCTCTGACAGGAAGTTCCGGAAGTACGAGTACTCACCCAAATACTAGTATCGGTATCAGTGCATCCCTAGTAAAAAGGAAACCTGTAGTCTTAAAACAACCTTGTTCTTATGAAAAACCAAATAGGCTTCTTCACAAAACAAAGCAGACAATTTGAAAACCCTTCTAGCCGAGGTGATGGACACAATAAAGGCAAACATTTTGAATAGCAAAATACAAAGAATTCAAAAGGAGGTTTTCATAAAACAGATAAAACCAAGTTCAAATCCTAAAGAGGAAGAGGAGACCTAACAGGAGGAGCCACATGTGGAACTCCCTGAAAAAAAGTATGAATCAAGGAATTAGAAGCAAAAGGATGTTGAAAAAGGACTGACAAAGTAGATATCTGACCCCTTATGGTACTTAGGAGGGAAAGCCAAAATGCACAATATGGTAAAAACACATGGGGAAAACCCCAAGGATTCACAACTACAACTACAAGTGTTTTTCAACACTTGGGTTTCAACAGCCAGGCCGCTAATGCCAGCAACCAAGAAGCAGGGTGGAAGATAGCACTAAGAGCCCTAAGATACAGTAACAGATCTTGCCAATCTGGAAGAAGCCACAGATCATCTGCCAATAGATGAACCAGATGGGTATACCACACCAACAGATATACAGTATATATATATACACATACATACATATACACACATACAGTTTTCTGGTTTTAATTGATACTCACAGTAAAGGTCTTGATTTTGGTGGTATATTCAACTCCGCCTGGCAATACTATAACAACCCGTCGAGACACCCGTCCACTCTTTTGAAGGAAGAAAAATAATATCAATGAGCATATCTTGGCACCATTAGGTTTACTTTATCTTGACCTTCTAACTCAAACTACACCCAGCATCCTTTCTATTTATTCCCAGTTACCAGCAGAGCTTCCAGTTCCTTCCGCGGGGGGAGGTGTCGGCGGCCATGATACAGTACAGTATGACGCAAGTGTTCTTGGCAGTTCCGAGAGATTTCTGAGTAAAAAAAATAGTATCATCGATTAAAAAAATTGATAAACAAAAATGACCACACATGTCACACTATGTCAGAGTGCATTATAGATTCTTTAGGGATATTATTAGATATATAGTATATCCATAAATGTTCATAATTCATTAAAGGATGTAAAGGTCCACACCACCTGAGACTTATATAACCACCACATTCTTACAGGTCTTAGAGGGTCCAGTGGTGAGATTTCCCAACAGTAGTTTTTGTCTCTAATCAAATCATACAGGGCTAAACCCTTTGTATCTAATCTATTGGGACCACCCATCCACAATGTTGTTTTAAGTCTAACACAAGAATGCTGAACTTCTGGTCACATGATGAGTAATCTCAATGATTATGCCAGGCTTTTGTAACCAAGAAGTTTCAACACTTCCAGGTAGTGCTAAGAGCTGACCCCTCCGTCCTCCTGTATGTTCCTACTTGCTCGTCCCAAGGATTGTCTGGGTAGTAGGAACATGCCTGTATTGTACTTTCAGGTTTACTTTAAGAAGGAAAGAACACTCTGATTGGTACATGAGATTAAATGTTTCCTCCTGATTTAGACTTGCTTGAGATAGACAGGGGCATACAGAGGTCTTTTTATCGTTCTTATTCATGTGTAGGACTATTAGAAACTATTTTTCACAGAACTGGTTGTTGTTTTTTGATTACTAGATTTGACATCAAACTGAATTTTACCTGGCGATGGTAGTAAATTGCAGGTCACATGACAATGATGTGGCCTGCTGATTCTAGAAAATCTTCTAAAATAGCGAGCCTTGTGGAGTGGCAACCATCCACATAAGGATCTTTATGATAGAGTGTTGGCCAAACAACCTTGAAAATGAGCCATCATGAAGACTTCAATGTGGTAATCTTTAGCATCTGTGTCAATGGGCTTAGGATTTGCATTTGAGGGCAAATGCAGCTTGCTTTTAGGTGCAATCCACTTGCATTTCAAATCAGTTGGAGACATTGCGAAGATAATTCATAGAGCATTGACAGGTGCATTGTTTCCTCCAGTTGGCTTCCTTCTGATCTCCATTTGATCTTCTAAGCTGCATCGATCAACCTCGAGCTGCTTTTTCATTCCCATAAACTTGTATAGGGAAGCATTTTTGACATAAACAAAAGCCCTCCAGCACAGGCCCTTAGTGTCAGGATGCATTACATAGTTATGTATAAAGACACAGGTCCATCCAGTTCAAGTTATAATGTGTGTATATGTTTGATTGTGTAGGATTCACTAAGAATTCCCACACCTCTGTATATTGTGTTCCATGAAGAAGACATCCAGAAGTTTTATGAATGTGTCTATACACTCAGCTAATACCATTGCTTGGGGAAGGGAGTTCTACAATGTTACTGCTCTAACAGCAAAGAATCCCCTTCACAGTTTTAGATTATACCTCTTTTTCTCCATTTTAAGGTCGTGGCCTCTTGTCTTCTTTAGGGACCTCTGAGTAAAACGTTTCTTACCGAGTCACCATTCAACAATTTGTACATTATTCAATGCTTCTTCTCCAGAATGAATAAGAGCAATTTCAGTAATCTTTACTCATAGCCCAGGTCCTGCAGCCCCCTTTATACATTTTGTTACCCTTTGCACTCTTTCAAGCTCAAGGACATCCTTTCTGCGTATCCGTGCCCAAAACTAAACTGCATATTCAAGATGAGAAGTGAGTGGTAGAGTGGTACCATAGAGTAGTAGAATTATGGATTTGTCTCTACAGTAAAGATTAGATATGTGCAATTTGTTTCTATACGATCCTGGATTCGGACGAATTTACATTATTCAGAGATTCGGATATATCCAAATCTCCGAACAATAGTAATGAATTTCAAGGAATCCGAAAGAAATTATAATGAAAATTCGAAGGACATTCGTTTTATTCGGATGTTGAGATTCCTTTTTTGAACGTGGTTGGATTAAATTAAACCATCCGAATAATTTGCATTCTATCGATGTTAGGCTAACTGGTCTGCTCTTTCCTGGTATGCATCTCGACCCTTTTTTGAATATTACACTGTATGTATGGAATTGTTTTATCAGACTGACAGTGTTGCCAACAGCGACAAAAAATAAAACTCTACAGGAATCTTTGGATAAAGCAGATATAATTGGAAGCTGTATTACACATATGGTTTTACAATTTGTTAGACATTAGAGTCAGTGACTGAAATACCTTGATAGTCACCAACAGTGTCCTGTAGGTACTTGGTAACACATGGCAGTAAGGTGGGGGAAGGCAGGAAATATCCAGTCAGCAGACTCAGCATAATCCAGCCGCGGTTGCAGCTCTCCCTGTCATATTAAAGACAACAGGATGAAAAAGGCAGCAGTGTACACACAATACAAATGTATACAATGAATAGGATATGCAATAAGATGTAAAGGCACATTATAATATACATGAAAAAAGGGAAATAAATAATGACTAGGTGATAGAAAGTTTTAGGTCAGTGGCAGGCAGGAAAAAACAGTATGTGGAAATGTAATTGTATGTAAGATGTAAAGGGAAAGTATAAAGTATTTCTACTAAGTAGGGATGCACCAGTACCGGCATCAACACCGATACTGTGCATTTTCACATGTACTCGTACTTGTGAAAGTGCCCCGATACTAAAAGCCGATACGGCTTTTTCAATTTTTAAATACATTTGCTTGCTGGGACCTCATCTTTTACATATACTTCTGGGGACCTCGCGCCGCTTGCTTACAGCGCCAGCCGCACATCTCCTCGCTGCGATCAGCTTCCTCAGCCTCACACAGTGCAGAGGGTGGTAGGACAGGAGTAATCATCTCCTGGCTGTATCATGGAGCCCTGAGCTTGGAACAGTTCTACCGAGGCCTATACTGGGGAGGATGAGCGGGGAATGCGGGGGCTGCAGGGTTGGTTTTAATTTTTTATGGTTTTTTTTGTTTCTCTCCTTTTTTTAACTTTTTTATCACTTTTTAATTTTTTTACATTTTTTATTTATCTTGTCATCTTTTACTTTTTTATCATTTTTTAACTTATTTTTTTTATGACATCGCCGTGAACACTTGTAAAAGAAACAAGTAATTTCTCCTATTCTACATTTAGCTCTGCTAAATGTAGAAAGCAAATTACCGCCAGGGCGCCCGGAACTCTATGTTCCCGGTGACTGGTGATTCAAACCTGTGCCGCCCCTCTGCTCAGTGCCTCCCCGAGGCCGGGCCTCGGTGGCCTTGCCGGGAATGCGGCCCTGTGTGTGTGGAATTAGGGGATCTGGAAATCAATGCACTGTTTTGCGATAGGAGCTCACATCCCGGCTGCTCTGCCCATTACTTTGTGCAACAACTTTTTTGGGCTGCCAGCCATTTACAGAGCTTTCTAGGGACCTGTGCTTCTGAGGCCTGTATGCACAGTACCCTCTAGGACAGGAGTTTTTTTTAGATGGCATTATCTGATGCTTTTTTTGGCCCCCAAGAAAATATTTAGGTGCTAAATAAATTATTTCCTCAGCAGTGATATGCTGGAAATTGTCTCTAGGAGTAAGTCAGTGACACCTATGATTTTATTTTATATATTTGCAGCAGCCTAATGACATCACAACAAGGGGACCAGTCAGCGTTAGGTAATAAGACTGCAGCCCTGGACTACCTAACTAGCGAAAGAGGTGCTGGCAAGGGACCTTGGCAGAGTTAGGTAGGCTAAAAAAAAGATTTTTTTTTTAAAAACAGTTTGTTAATGGGTGGGAGTGGCATGGGGCATTTGCATTTGCCATGAATTGAGCTTTAATGTTTTGCACATTTATGAACTGAAAAAAAATTGAAATGACAATTTTGCCAATAATAGATTAGCCTCAATGTAACTGTCAAATGCTCCTTAAAAATGTTACTTACTTACCTACTTTTAAATATCAAGGAATAAGATTCCCTTAATAAGGCAGATAATGACTTATAGGACTTCTGTGGATACTCACTGTTTGGGATTTTCTGTGATCTGTTTTAGCACTTGGCAGAAGACCTCATCTCTCAACATTGTTTTTTCTCTGCACAGCTACAGAAAAAGACTTATTAATAACATTATATACATATTTCTCTCCCATATAGCAGTTATTATATGCCATACTTACCAACATGATCTCATAGACACATTTAACATCATCCTGCTCCCGGTACTGCTGGTCACCCATAAACCTCATCAGAGCTGGGAAGAAAAGCATGCACAAATAAAGCTGAACTCAAGGCGAATAGAAAAGCGACCCAGTTTTGTATTCATTTACATCTTTAAAGCCCAGTTGCAGTCACAGAAATAGATCGTATGATGTCTAATTGCATAACAATTTCTATTCTCAATCTTACTTCCATTTTTGTGTCATAGCAGATGTGTAGTGTCTCTACAAATGACTGTGCAGTTCAATAGGCACATGAGTTCTCACCTGAACGCCAGTGTGCTGAAATGGAGATGTTTTTTGTGCATTGAGGCACGTTGCATTAGGAAGCCCATTAAAAATGAATGGGCTGTCTATTCACTTCAATATTCAAAAGAATAGGCCCTGCACCATTTGTAAAGTGCAATGCACAGAGACCTGTGCACACACTGGATGTATGGTGGATTGCAACTGCACACAGGGCCGGATTTCCCACAAGGCCAACCAAGGCCCGGCCTTAGGGCAGCAGGGAGTAGAAGGGCAGCAGGGGTGTGGAATTCTTATCGCCCAGGGCATGTAGTTCCGGGCGGGTAGTTGTTTTCTATATTTAGCCCTGCTTTGGGCAAGCAGAGCTAAATGTACAGAGGGGAAACCGCTGCTTGTTTTGTATAAGCGATCCCGGCGATGTCGCCGAAATCACTTGTATGCAGCCTGCAGGTCTGCCATTCTCCATGGGGGGTAGGGGGCGCATTGAGGAACCTGGCCTTGGGGCAGGAGAGAGAGTAAATCCGGCCCTGACCACACATCCACATTGTGTTGTGATAATGCATGCTATAACGCGGGCCATGACATACGTTATAACATGCATCCCAGTGTGAATGTGTTCTTTGAATCAGTTCTCTCAGTAATCAATATTCATTAACAGACCTGGTCAGACACACACTATCCCCTCCTCTGCAAAACAAGCGAGTGTGTGTAAAGTTGTGATAAGAGTTAAAGTTACTTCGCTGCCAGCATAGAGCACTGGAGTGGTAGCGCAGGAAGCAGCATTGTCAATGACAGAAAAAGAGTGTGTTATTTCCAAGCAAAAGTTTGTTACAAATCACAACATGCGGGGTACAGAACTATAAAAAGGTAAAATGTGTGAGACTTCAATTGGGCTTTAAAGTTAATCTAAATGAAACACTTTTTTTTTACTTTGAGAAAGAGTGGTAGGGCGTTAGAATCCCTCTAAGGTTTTTATTGCTGTCTGTGTTCTTGTTTATGTATTACCGACTTATTATCTATGGGGTGAATTCATAAAAACTGGAGCAGACAGAATCTGGAGCAGTTTCCATGGCAACCAATCAGCTTCTCTTTTCCGTTTGTTCAGCTATGCTTTGAAAATGAAACATAGAAGCTGATTGGTTGCCATGGGCAACTGCTAGAGATTCTATCTGCTCCAGTTTTTATGAACTCCCCCCCAATGTATGTAAAAAAATAAATAAGTCAAGGCAACTGGACTTGCTGAATTTTTCTTGAAGCATAGAAGAGCGAAACCCTCTGGTCGGGATTCAGCAGTATACCTACATCTAAAGGAAAAAGGACACTCTTTTGAAGACAGTCAAAAGAGGTGTGAAATAGGCCATTTATGTAGAAATGGAGAAGCCAAGCTTGAATACTCTATCCAAAATGAAAAAAAAAGATAGCTTTAGATGTACATTAAGGTTTTTTTTTTTTGTTTTTTTTACAATTAACAAGAAAATGTACCCGAGTCTTCATATTAGAGCCCAGTAATGCTCTCCACTGCAGCACCCAGAGCTGCTGCTTCCACTGTCCAGTTAGCAAGCTGGGCAAGATAATACAGCCTGGTTTAGGACCTAACTACAGCATAGTGTACAGGGAGGGCCAAGACCTAGAGATGTTGTCTGTCAGAGGAATTCTGGATCACAAGACTGGGTGAACAGAATTACAAATCCTTTGCGGGTAAAATCGTCTACATATGTTTATCTCAGCTATGTGTTGAGCTGGTAATTTTTCTTGAGGCAGTGTTAGGTTTATCATCTTCATCACCAATAGACAACTCCTTGTCACAGTTTTTCCTAACTAAAATGACAATACATACCCATAAAGTTGCTTGTTGCAGACTCATTCAGCAATTTGTCGGAGTATAATATCAAAGACTCCTGAATTGGTACCTGAAATTATACAATGATATCATAAATGGGAAGAGAAGACCAAGACCAACAGATATTGGTTCACCTGAGTGACCTTGAGGAGTGCAGTGCGCAAGAATGATTGTGAGCACAATAACTCTATTCAGAGGGGTGGCTCTATGGTGATGTTTAGGGGACTGGCTGTGTAAGAGTATGGATGGGAGACTGACTTAGGAGTAAAGTTGCAAAGGGAGTGTAAAGCTCCTTTCACACGGTCCGATCAGGAAGAAATCCGTGCATTGATTCCCTCCTGATTGGAACAGATGTCACTGCTGTGACATGCGTTTCCGTGCAGTCTGGTAAACTGACATTACCAGACTTATGTTAGTCTACGGACAGACAGATCTAAATTTATGTGCATCTGTTTACATCCGCTTACCCCCAATCCAGCATGATCAGGTCTGGCGGAACGGATCTCTGATCGGTTTGTTTTTCCAGACCTGGCTGAAGCCGAGGGTAACTGGATGTAAACAAACATCAGTCTGTTTACATACGTCTGCCCATAGACTAACATTGGGCCTCCGATCAGGTGCACTTGAAATACTGCTTGGTGGACCTGATAGGAAAGCCCGTGTGAAAGGGGCCCAAGAACTATGGTGAGTTCAGGGTAGTGTTAAAGGACGTGCTGGAGTTAACTGTGTGAAGATTAAGATGGTATGTGCAGTATGATACAGTTGGAAAAATGGTGCATTGGTAGATACATGTGGTAGACTGAAGTGTTGTGATGGGACTATGTAGAGAAAATGTTTTTGTTTTTATGGTATTGTTCGTTCAAATCATCCTACCTTTGTGTGCTGCACCAGCTCAATTGCTTTCCTCCCTTCAGCAGCCATTCCTTTCCACCCGAGCCTATGGGACAACAGGATTATTAAATATACTAAAGTGTTGACAGAAGTGGAACGTTTCCTAGATGTCAACCTTCGGTCTGCTCTGTTAGGCTGGCCAAAGACAGCTTGATAAACTCAGACAATGCTTCTGAATTCAAACATCATTTGTGATTACTGGGCTGTCTCTGAACTACAAAAGGGTGATCGTGTTTAAATATGAGTCCAGCATTAATATGTTTAAGTATTTGCATATTTTTAACAGGCAGTAAATAAGCTGCAACCACAGTGGAGCAAATTATCCTTAGACTGCACAACAAAAGCACTAAAGTTGTTTCAAGTGTTGCACCCTGCTAACATGAGTGCTATAAAATATATTTGTATTCTATGTCCATTTTAGTTCTTGCTTGCAGAGTAATCTGTGATGCTGTGTCTGCCTGTTGCTGGGTGGATTGTACCACACAGAGCAGACCAGCCAATAAGGATTGCTTTGGGCAGTTATGTCTCCCGGCCAATCACTGGAAGTACCTTGTGCTTTTGTTGTGCAGTCTAAGGATGAATTGCTCCACTGTGGTTGCAGCTTATTTACTGCTTGTTAAAAATATGCAAATACTCCTGTACCAGGAGCAGTGATGCATGTTGGGAGAAGATATAAATGCAACAGTCTCTTCCCTCCCCCAGGGCACTCATGTTTGCAGGTTGCTGCTGAAGAGACTGAACTGACTAGGCCAAAGCCTGGGGACTAGCCTGGAATTGACACTGAGGCCTGACCCCGGAGGCTCAGCGGCCAGCCACTCATGCTGCAGCTGGACATAGATGAGGACTCCTAAAGTGCTGCTTGCCAGATGTTCTATACACAGATTGCTGGTATGGCTTAAAGGTCCTAGTCTGTGATGGCAGCAGTTACTATGCTCTATTTCTAGTAAAAGGAGTCTGCCTCATCCTGTATGTACCTGACCCTCTTCCTCTCCGCCTGGAGTTCAGCAATAAAAGAGAATCAGCTTGGATCTATTGTCTGGACTTCACTTTGTCGGTGGCCCCTGGAGATGATAAGTACTATTTGGGCAGCCATGTGTTTTAGAAATCCCTAGACAGGCTAAAGGAAGACCCGATCATTCAGCGGCTCCTTCGGGGGTGAGCGCTACACAAGTCATTTGTTTCCACAGCTCATTTTATGCTCCCCTCTCTTAGTAGAGAGAATTACTTGAATGAGGGACAAACTGAGGGACAGATTGAACTTTTTCTCATAACTATACAATGCTTCTAACAGGGTTATTCACAAAAGGGTGAAGAGTTTGGAGAACTCAGGAGAAGTGAACAATCTAGGACAACATAACTGATTCGGAAAAATTCTCCACTTCAGCTCACTTGCCAGTTCAGCTATTTTGTCCTAGATTGTTCACTTCTCCAAACTCTTCACCCTTTTGTGAATAACCCTGTAAGTCTTTAAAGGAGAACTCCGGGGAACATTTTCTTAACTCTTGCAATGGGGCTACCTCTGCACTGCATTTTCTTAACTCTTGCAATGGGGCTACCTCTGCACTGCACTAAACTCAGGAGTTAAATCTTAAAAAAACATTCAAGCACCCCAACTATTAACACAAATGTATCTTATTTGTGTATCACTTGGCTGTAGATCCTCAAATCAATTGGTGCTGACATTGTCCTTCCTTCTGGAGGGTGGCTACTTTTGTTTCCCATGGTCCCTGTGTGTGTAGTAAAGTAGCCACCACTCCAAGCTCACTCCTGTGATGGACTACAATCTCACTTTAGTTTACTAATTTGCATTGAGATTGTAGTCCATCATGGGAGCAAGCTTGGAGCGGTGGCTATTTTACAACACACACAGGGACCATGAGGAACAAAAGTAGTCACCCTCCAGAAGGAAGGACAGTATCAGCATGAATTCAAAGATGATTTGAGAATCTACAGCCGAGTGATACACAAACAAGCTACATTTTTGTTAATCGTTAAGGCACTTGAATGGATAATTAATTGCTTCACCATGTCTGCAGCTACAGAGATCAGTGTAGGACTATTTAAAAATGATTTACTAACAATATTTAAATACTTGAATGTCAATAGCCTGGCCACAGGTTCACTTTAAGGCAGTTGGAGGCACTTGTTATTGTGAAGAAAGAAATCCACCCCAAAAATACCCCTTAGACCGGGGCCATTCCTTCACTCTTCTAAGGACAACAATGAAGCTCGCCCATGTACTACTGTCAGCATCAGGATGATCAGGATAGACCATTGTTTTCAGGGAGATATCTGCCCGTTTATGAGCAGTCGTACTATACCCTGTCCATAATACAGAGATATGTGTGATACAGAGATTAGAAACACAAAGCAAAGAGCACCATACTCATGTGAAGGACTGTTTATTAAACACTATTTATAAAATAAAACAAATGGGTACTCACATATATACATCCATTAAATATTGCTCTATAGCCTTGGTTCTCAACTGGTGGGTTGTGACCCAAAAGTGGGTTGCAACCCCTTGTTCAGTGGGTCACTGCATGGCTTCCATTTTTCTAGGTGAGATGCTCCTCTGCCTCCCCCTAGTGCAGCATTCGGTTCTCTAGCCAAGCAGCATTCAAAATATGCTGCCTGGCGCCGAGTGTCAGTTTGAGATGGGCTGGGGGTACAGCCTCGAGGGAGCTCCATCCATACATGCATTGCTTACAGCTCCCTCACATTTGCTGTAGAGGTGCCTGGACCAGAGTGTCATCACATTCTGCATTGCAATTCATTTGAATGGTACCCCAAACGTACCCGCCACCCACAGTTTGTACGCCCACACCGGAACGCACTGTACCCTAATGCCTTGTGTTCCAATGCGGTGGTTCATGGGTCGTGACTTAATGACCAAGGACAAATGTGGGTACTGAGGTTACACAGGTTGAGAACCACTGCTCTATAGTGATGCATAGCTTTAAAATATCTATATCCATTACTGAGCACTCGTGGCCGTCACCAGGGAGGAAATACCAGAGGATGGAAGCAGTGCTAAATCACTAGGGCCCGGGCGATGATCGAAATAACACCAACTTCCTTGGCAGCTGTATATGCGGTTTAACAGTTTTCACTGTGCTTTTGTGAGTACCCATTTGTTTTTTATATATAGTGTCTAATAAACAGTCCTTCAGGTGAGTATGGCGCTCTGTGCTTTGTGTTTCTATTACATGTACTGAGTGATCCCCCAATTCATTTGAGGAGCTGCCTTTGGAGTCGGAAAGGATACTTCTTTGTATTGAGAAGAATTCATGCGGTCACTAGCGCTGAGTCAGTGGAACTAATACAGTGATTAGATACATAACATTTGCAGTATATTAGTGCGTATGGTATTATTATTATACAGGATTTATATAGCACCAACAATTTGCACAGCGCTTTACAAAATAGAGGAGACAGTACAGTTACAATACAATTTACATTACAATACAGTTTCAGTACAATAGGGTTAGGAGTGCCCTGCTCGTGAGAGCTTACAATCTAGTAGGAGGGGCAAGTGATACAAAAGGTAATTGATAGCCCCTGATACAAATAATGGTATTTGTATCATGGGCTACCAATCATGTTTTTGAATATGTTGATAAATAAAGATATCAACTCCAATCATCATAACCATTTAGCACCTTATACGGTTTGAAGATCGATTATTTGGGATTTTACTCACATGGTCTGTGCTTCCCGAAAATATTTCAGTGCGAACTCCACCATGGTGTAATGTGTTGCTTCAGTGGGTTGTGGTGAAGGGTTCCGATTCTGGGATGAAATCTCGCTAACCTTTTCACTCTGACAAAATAAATCACCATATTACACATTTAGCTTCTTTAGGAAATAAAACACAATTATAATGATCACATTTTAAACGACTCTGTTCTAAATAAAATTAAAAATATTGTTTGGAAATGAGAAATTGCTCTAATTTGTAGGCCTATAAACACACTTTTGTTGGCCAGCAGTTTTTCATGAGACCGACTGTTTGATTTGATTGTTTTAATTCAAAATCTTAATTGTCCTTTTGATGCAGAGATAATATTTGCCCAGGAAAGTATTGGAAAAAGTATGAAAAAATTTGAATTGACCATTTCACAACATAATTATGACCAAGGAAACATGTGGGTCCCGAGGTTACACAGGTTGAGAACCACTGATCTAGTTGATGACTGCAAATTTTCCAAATATTTGAAGTTTTATTTTCAATTCGATCCTGCAAAACCAGTTGAAGTCAATCAAAATGGTGATGAGAAATGATTGATAATTGCTATAGTTGATTAGGATATTGCAACAATCATAATATCGAAATAGCTAAACAAGTAAATAGCTAGACATAGCACATAAATATATGAACGATCTTACAAAAAGATTTGGTATTCTTTGTAACCAGTCTTGGGTATCCAGGCACCCCTGCCAGACAACACAGCCAAGACCAGTCCTCTGTGTGAGCTCCCTACAGACCATACTGCAGTTAAGCATAATAAACTGGTCTAGGATGTGCCCCAGCCTTTGACTGGACAATGTAGGAGCAGAAAAAATTGATAAATTTAAACTGTTAAATGGACAGTATCACATAATTTAATAGATTCTGAGTAGCTTATATTGAGGATCATCCGATTTGTAGTCTGAGTGCTGCTGTGCAAGATATTACAATCCGCTGATATTACCCACTTGAGGTGTTAAAGATACACCCTAAAAAACATCAACACAGATTCTAGGGCATATCTGATATGCCCTGCCCCCTATTATCAGGAATTGCTATGTATCACATAGCAGGAGTGGTCGTCAAAATTACATTTGCAGGTACTTCGCAAGTGTCATTGAGTAATACAATGTAATAATGTTTTGGTGCAGTGTATTTACTATTATATTCATATGGACATTAAAATGTTCACCTTTGATGTGCATGTGACATCAGTTAAAGCAACCTTACAAATAAAATAAAACATATTTCTACTTCATTCAGGGACACCAGAAATCCTAAACTGTGGGGTTATACTGCCCCCTACAGGAAAAATGGACACTGGCAACAAAAACTGGCAAAAAAAAAACTTAACTAGCACAAGATAACATCATCCACTACCAGCATGTCTCAGTTTTTTGCTAAAGAAAGTGGACGTATACTCTTCAGCTCTGCTGTCCTGTGTTTGGTTGGAAGATTTTTCTACTATCAACAGCTGCTGGTAAATTCATGCCAGATATGTTACATTTTGGAAGTCTCTCCGGTTAGCCACCAAGTGCTGGTAGATTAATGCCAAATATGTAAACTAGATAAATATAAGCAAATAAAATTATATGCAAAAGACATTCCAATATAAAATCCATGATGACCACCAAAACCTCTGTCGGATAGCTGTAACTGAAGAGACCAACTCTGGCAGCAATGTAGCAAAGAGCAACAATTTAAGCAAAATGCTGAAAAGTGAGAAAGAAGGTGCTAGCAAAATAAGTTAGCCCTTTACACAGCAGAGCTGAAGAAAAGACGTCTATCCTCCTATGACACTAGCAAAAAAAAAATGAGGCAAGCTAGTAGGAGGAGGGCTTATCCTGGGCTGGCCTACAGTGTTTTTGTTCACCAGTGGCCATTCCTCCTGTAGGCAGCAGTATAACTAGAAGGTGAAAGACTTACTGTGTCCCTCGATGGACGAGAAACTAGATACATTTTGGCTATAGATACACAAATACACAAAGTAACGTCTCATTTCCATAAGGCGTAAGCTCTGCTTTGCTGCAGAACTTGGGGGTATTTGCTCTCTCACCTCAGTGCTGAAGGTTCTGCGGAGACCCACGGGGCGGGGCTTGTTTTGGCTTTCTTTTTTTTCTATTGTTGAGTAATAGTCTGGGACTGCAGCAGGCTGCACAAATCGTGATGGGAAAATACCCGAGTGTCCTCCAAGAGAACCAAACTGCCAACCTGCAAGACAGAAAACAAAGAAGTCAGAAAAGATACCAGAAGTACTTTCCATCTCCACATGTGTTCTAGGTGACTGGCTCATACTATTGCTAGGCAGCGAGCAGAACAGTCAGGGTGCCGGAATTTTCAGAAGAAAAGGTCAGCAAATGGCATAGACCATATGTCTTCCATGTCAATCTTCCTTCAAATATACTGTACCTGTTAATCCTTCCAGAAATCCAGTGAGACCCAAATTTGCTATTGTTGGGTGATAACTTTGCCTGCTGGACTACAGAGCTCAGCCTATCCCTCCCTTCCCTCTATGTCCCAGTGCACTTGCATACAGTAATTTCTTTTCCAGCAAAACAATGCTGCTGCATTGACTCTCAATAGCCTGCCCACATTGTGTATAGGGATGGAACTCTTGGGATATGTAGTTCTGGGGCTTACCTACATTTGTAGGAACTCAATTCCCAGCAGCTGTCCTTAGAGAATTGTACAAGCCTAGCAATGATGTGACAGCGAGAGACAAAAGCTGTTTCTAAGTAAGCAAGCTATTTGACAGTTTGACCTAGACAGGTACTCTAGTAAAAAGGTTGACCTTTACGTACACCAGCCACTATGTGGCCATGAACATCACACAGTCAACTCATTACAAGGAATGCTGTCATTACCTCGCTCCAATCCATCCATTGGCACCAATTTGATAATGTCACCCTTCTTGAACTGAAGAAGACTCTTATCATCAGTAAAATGACTACGGAGCGCAACCACATGATTTGAGTCCTTTGAAAAAAATAACAAAGGGACACTTATATCAGGGCTTTTTTTCCTCATACTACACAAATTGTTAATGTTTGATCTCTTTGGTCACCTTCATCAGTTCCTGCAGAAACAGTTCCACCAGGTTTTTTAGTGCCTCTGCTCTGTCGGAGCGCAAACTCAGATCGTCAGTACGGAGAGAAAAGTGCAATGTTCGGGAATCGGTCAGGTCTAAGGACAGGATATCTACATAACTGCGGGATAAACAAATTAAAAGGTTTATGGAAAGATTCCTTCCAAGGTTTACTTGTCTACCATTGGGTTATGTTTCTTCTCACCTGTAGCTGAACAGAGTCTTCAGGTATCTCTGATGTATTCCTGATGAATTCACATCCTTCAGTAGTCGGATCCCTCGGTGAGAAACCCCCAAAAGCAGTTTTTCTACATCGTCATCCAGCTATAATCATACAAAAGGTACAATGTTGGGAAATAACCAGCGTAAGAAAAATAGCTCAACGTAAAAAAGGTAAAAATAAAACAAAGCAAAGAGTTACCAGGTTTACACTTGAGATGTGGTCATTTATTGACCAGTTACTCCCAACTATATGGCTGACAACGTAAATTGGAACTAAACTCTTGTTGATATCATACTTGCACATTATGGCATATCTACCTCTACTGTGCTGTCCTCCAGCATTAATGGTCCAGGATTCTGTCACCGCTTTGTCCCCCGCCAACACTGGTTCTTCTTGGTCAATGGCAATCCTATTTGGCCATTGGATGGCTACTGATATAATTCCTGCTCATGTTCCAGTACCTTGCATGCCAAGAATAAAGCTGGGATGTACAGTGCACAATGCATCAACCAAAGGTTTTGTTTTGTTTGGGGAAAAGAGAGTTTGCTTGTCTCTCCTGCCAAAAAAAACCAAAACAAACCCTCTACCTCTTGGAGAATGTTTGCTATGGGACTAGCTCTGCTTTAAATATGTTCCATCCTATACTTGCATGTATTGACCAGTTCCAGGTGTGATTTCAGTTTGACATACCATTCTCGCATCCCTGAGGGCAATCCACTGATCCCCCTCCAACCAGCAGATGGGCTTGCAATGCATGCAGGCCTTTGGAGTTTAGAGTGAAGAATTGCATACTGAGCACCCTAGCTCTGGGGCCCATACAGTATCTTGCTGTCTGCTTTTCAGTGAGTAGGTCGCCTTTGCTTTTATCACTAGAGCATGGATATGCTATATTACATAGTAAAAAATGCACTGGAAACAATGAATCGCATAATGGCCTGCTAAATGGTGAAAAACCTAAAGAGAACCTGTCATGGGAGAAAAATGGGGCCTAAAAATTTTGTCCTCTTACTAAAATCACGGCTACCTTTAAACTTAAGGGTACGTTGATTTTGCCCAAAGTACCATTTTCAGCTGATATGTTTCAGTGGTCAAACTTTTAGTGCATCCCTATGCATGACAAGGCAATTTGCCTTGCGTTGCGTTCGGGCTGCGCTGGAAAAAACAGCTAGCGCAGCCTAAATGCATATCCTAATACTTTCTGAACCACTGACCCGGACCAAGCCTGCACCAAGTCAGAACTATGCATTACTTCAAATGCATTGACCCCATTGGATACACATGGCAGCCATGAAAAGAAAGTTTTTAGAGGGAGATCACAGCATACAGACAGTTATTGACTTACATGAACATAGATACTTTTACTCACTGTGACCGGGAAGAGGCGGGAAAAGTAATTTTCCCAGTTATCCCTGGCGGCCATAACGATACGTTTCTTGACTGACTCTTCTCTGATGGAGCTGGCATCACTTCCTACTTGGTGCTCATCTAAAAAAACAGAAATCAGAAAATAATCAATTTACACACAAAATATTTTTCTGCTCCATATACATCCTCGTCTGAAAATCTGACTTATGATTCCCTACTCCTACTTAATAATAACAGTTCACATAAACACACTGGGGGGAATTTATCAAAGCTGGAGCAGACATTGGCAACCATTCAACGAAATTTCGTCCAATAAATAAGCCCCCTTGCCCGCAGACCCCACAACCACCGGGCCAGGGTTGTGAGGAAGAGGCCCTTGTTCCCATCGGCACGGGGACACCCCCCCAATGCCGAGGGCACGTGGCCTGGTTAAGGCACAGGGAGGGGGGAGCGCTCAATCGCCCCCCCCTTTCCTGCCCTGCCGGGCCAGTGCTCGGATCAAGGGTCTGGTAGGACTGTTAGGGGGGACCCCACGTTTCCCCCCCATTTTTTGGGGATGGGGTTCCCCCTTAAAATTCCTACCAGACCTAAAGGATCTGGTATGGATTTTGGGGGGAACCCCACGCACTTTTTTTTGTTTTAACTTGGGGGAGGGTCCCTCCTAACATTCCTACCAGACCTAAAGGGTCTGGTATGAATTGGGGGGGAACCTCACGTTTTTTTTTTTCATCTTCTGCAGACTGTAAAAAAAAACAAAATTTTTTTTTTTCTAATGTCACTTTACTGCTAACGAAAGTTCATTTAATAAACAAAATTTCGCCCGGACTACCGCTAACGAATTTCGTCCGAATTTCGATTCGTTTGTATTCTTTTTAGCTGTAATTCGGAATTCGGATGCATCCGAATCTCCGAATTTCCGAAAATTCGTCCGAATTTCGATTCAGAACAAAACGAATCGCACATGTCTATCAGAAACCCTTTTTATTCCTTAGAAGCATAATGATAAAATTATAACATCTTCACAGATGGAGAAGCATTGTGCTTTTAAAAGTATTTCCAGTAGAGTTAGCTGTAAATGGAATCCTCTTTAGAATACTTTTTATTTCAATAACTCTTTGACTTGTCTTTAGCAAATATGGAACCCTCTTGTGTTAATGTTTAAAATCCAGGTACAAAACCTAATGGTTACAATAAAGTACATCCCCTGTAAAACGATGTCACAGTAAATGCCTTCCGCACTGGTATCTCCACCCTGCTTGAGCTGGGTAATAACTAAGCTAGCAGAGAACAGCACTGTTGAATTGTCCCTGGAGGTCCACCGAGAGTATGCTTAGTGTTTTTGGGTCTGAACCCAGCTCACACCACACAGATATTTGGTAAAATAAGCACTCCTGCTCCAGCCTCTGCGTGCTTCAAAAGCCCCAAAAGGACTAGGGCTGTACCTTTTCCATCAGGGAGAAGCGTGAGCAAGTTCAACTGCAGGCAAAAAGCTAAATGAAGGTTGAAATAGCTATATTTAAGTGGACCTCTTTAAAAAAACAAAAAAAAACACCAAAAACCTTTGCCCCGTTTTCTGACGTTTCCGGGAAGCACGGGTGACATCACTGTGCCTCTCTGCTGCTTTCTGGGATAGCTGGGGGTTAAAAATAAGACTGCAGGCAAGCATTGGGCAATGCTGCGGGAGTTTGAGAATTTTTTATAGAGGGGATGTTCCATTTTCATGGAAGGTCCACTTTAATTCTGTTTCTCCACAACAATTAAGTAATACAACTTTATCAAAGACCTACCCTGGCCTATAAATGGACAATGACAGAACAGCTGTTGTCTCCTCGTATGAGCAAAGTATGAGATGCCCAAAGTTTGGCTTTAAAGGCTCCCACCACTGCACTGCTCTGGCAAACCAAAGCTGACTACTGAGCAAAGGGCAACACTGGCTGACTAGTCACAGGACAAAAAAGACAAAGGATATGGCAAACATTTTCTTTGTACTTACTTAAGAAGTCTTTCATCTTCCGCCTCTCCTCTCTAGACAGCTTGAAACCAGTGTCTGAGAATGTGTCTCGAATTATCTATCACCACAAACAGAAATATACGATTAAAGATTAATTATGCACATCAAGTCGTGTATTAGTAATTAACAGCTAGCCAGTCACAAGTTACTAAAGACCTCATTATCACACAATAAAAAGTATAAAACAGACAATGTATGATAAATGGGCTTTGGATAATATGAAGAACAGTCTTATTGGTACCAAATACTAACATCCTTGTGAGATTGGTGGAACTCCAATCAAAACGTTTCAAAATCAAAAGTCTAGTCTCCGACACACCCCTATAGTTACATTATAAGCTGCTGACTTCAATAACAAAGAAAGCATTGCTCAGGCTAAATCCCACCTACATTAACACACTCTACTCTTCTACAATACCATCCATGTGCTTTAACATGGTACTGGTGCAAATTCATATTTGGCAGTAGTAGAGTCAGGTGGGACACAGCAGCTGCAGCTTTTCCACTGCTGCATTTTTTTTTTAAGTGACTGACCCAAAAGAATCCTGGGAGCTAATTTTAATATTAAAGAGCAGTTATTTTTTATATGATGTTTTTTATTATTTTTTATTAATAATATATATATATATATATATATATATATATATATATATATATATATATATATATATATACAGGTGAAACTCGAATAA